CCACCGCCGGCCCTGTGGCGCAAAGAGACAGTCCTGCGTGTCCGGGCGGCACAGCACCCCCGGGGAAGTGCCCCCTCTCCTCAGTTCTCTGCAGCAAACCTGTTTACATTGTAGCCTGACTTTTTTCTTTTTATATTTTTACTTCTGCATGTCCTTTGCATTTCAGATACTGTAGATTGGATGCATGGTGAAGCTGTGACTGAGAAGATAATACAACAATTGACAGTGTATTATTTCATTTAACTTTTAGCAATAAAGTAACTAAACCCTCTATTCCTCACCCGTGATGGGGTCAGATAGAAAACTCTGCTAATTTGTCATAAGATGATTGTCAAAGTTTGCTCTGGATTGTCTGAATGTCAGAACTCTTGACTGTTTAACACTTGAACATTTTTTATATTATAAATAAAATAAGAAATAACAAGCTGTGGGCTGCATTAATCTCAAGCCCTTTGTGGGGCAAATAGGGAGCTGTGACAGGCACTATACACAGAATCACACACTGGTTGAGGCTGGAAGAGACTTCTTCCGCATTTCCTGCTTCACCAGCTCCCCCAGAGTTAGCTGCCCAGGCCTGTGTCCAGTCAGGGTTTGATTATCTTCAGGGATGGCAGTACCACAGCTTCTTTGGGTAACCTCTGCCTGTGTTTGGTCCTTCCCAAAGCAAAACATTGTCTTCTTGTATTCAAACGTCATTTCTTATCTCAAAGTTTGCATACAGATTCATACTGCCTAGGCCTTCTGTCAAACCCTGAAAACTCTCTATAAATCCATTTCCCACACAAACTGGATTTACTAATTTTTAATTTGAACCCTTTGCCTCATTTAGTCTTTTAGGCCCATTGCCTCGTGTCCTGAACACTGAGAAGAGTGCAGCTCCCTCTTTTTCACTGCCATCCATTGGGTATTTATACACATGGATAAGGCCTCCCTGAGCCTTCTCCTCTCCAGGCTGGACAGTTCCAGCTCCCTCATCCTCATCCTCTCATCTCATATGAGAGATGCTCTGGTTCAGTAAAAGTCCTTATGCCCATAAAGACCCATAGGTGGGTGTTTTTCTGCCTGGCATGGACATTTGACCTTCCTGCAGGGCTCAGGAGTGGAGGCTCACTGAGGTGAGTGACTGCTACCCACACATCTCTGGGGGTGCCATTCCTCCTCCAACTGCAGATCAGGAGATGCCCCTTCCCTTGAACCATGGAAGTTTCCAGATGTGCCAAGAGAGGTCAGGGTGCTTGTGCTGTGACCTGCACCTATTCAGTGACTTGAGGGGAGTGGGGATGTGTTGGGTTCATGCAGCACTGATGCACCCACAGAACAGGGCCCTGGTTCAGCTCCTCCATGGGAAACCTGTGTCTCTGGCTGTCCCATGTAGGGACACACTGACAGCGTGGTGTGGTCACAGGAGCACAGTCCCTGAGGTGGCACACATGGCTCCATCCAGCTCAGAACTCACTCCCCTGTTCCTGCTCAGTGACATGGACAGGTGTCCAAGAGCCCCAGCTGAACTCAACAGGAGAGGGGTCTGTCACAGTGAGTCAATCCTATTGAAATGGATAGGTTGGAACACACTGATCTGGTTGGAACTTGATGATTTTTAGTGTCCCTTCCAACCCAAATCATTGTAGGATTCTGTGAGTGCCCAGAGCTGTGAGAGAACCACCCAGCCCTCACAGTACTGCCCATGTTGGAGGCCAGGCTAAGCAGACCCACAGCCTGGGCTTCTCCTGCTCCAAACCTCCCCAGGATGCCCATTGTCCTGGAGCTGACCCAGCTGTGTCACAGGCCACCCCAAACATTCATGGCATGTCCTGTGGGGCCTCCAGACAGACCAGATGGCCCAGCACTCCACCCTGGATGAAGACATCTCAATTCTGGCTTCCCAGAAGGTTAAAGGCTGAAGGACCCTGCCCTCCTGCCCATGCCACCCAACAGCAATGTGCAAAGGAGGTGTAAGACCTGGGACAAAGGTGGTGGGGTCAAGTCCTGATTAGGGTGACATTTGCCTTTGGACACATCGTGCCCCACATCTGTGCAGCCCCAAGCCTCACTGGACAAAGGCAGCAGTGCAGAATGAAGGCAGCAGTGCAGCTCTCCACTCTCCTGTTCCTCTTGGGACATGCCCCAGCTCCTCATTCCCTTTGATCCATCTCAGCTGCTCCAGGGGCTCCCAGAGCAAGGTGAGATGGACAGGAATGGGCAAAGAACACCCCACCCCTTGGAAGGGACACATGTGGATTATCACCAAGGCTGATCCCTGGGGAAACCAGACACATGGAAGAGAGAGATTGTGTGCCTTTGTCTTGCCAAAGCAGCCCCATCTCCCTGCCTGGCTCTCCTGGGGATCTGTGAGCTCCACTCGTGGAGAAACCCCCCCAAGGCTGGCACAGCAGCATCTGCCCTACAAGCAGGTACAGCTCTTGGGTCTCCATGCAGAACAACCACGGGGCCACACCTCAGGGTGATGCCTTGGAGGAACAGATCATCTCAATGCAGCTGATCCCCACCAGGAATCTCTCTGGGTCCCTTGAGGGAGAGAGGAGCTGTGGGTTTGCCCTGCACAGGGGGATATTTCCCTGCTCCATGGTTTGCAGGGATCTTGTTCTGCAAGTGCTGAGACACCACTAGCTCTGAGCCACGGCAGCCTCAGGATTCTTTGTGGTGATTTTTTTGTTAAACGTGCCCCTTGATTCCCATAATTGTGTTCTATATTTAGAGGCAGTTACGCTACTTCAATTTTCTCTCCAATTGCCTCTGAAGGGAGCCTGCATCTCTCTCTTTTTTCCCTGGCTGGTTTATTTTTAGACTCCTCATTTCCAGCCATGCGTGCTCCTAGGGCTTTGCCGTAAATATTTTACAGCAATTTTCACAGGTGGGGGAGCCACCAGAGCCTCCTGACAGCTCTGCTCTGCGTGCATGGTGCCTTCAGTGCCCTTCCCAGAGGGCAGGGAGGTGCTCTGCTGACACACATGGGTGGCACAAGCAGTGTTGGATCCTGGATTTGGGGTCACAAAGTCTCCCCCACAACAAAGTCTCTCTAAAATGAACGTGGTTGTGTCCAGGACAAGTGGCCTGGCAGGGATGTCAGGCTGAGCCACCACTGCCAAGTGAGGTTGTGTGAGACCCAAAGCAGTTGTGGTGCCTGCTGGAGGGGCTGGGACAGGCAGGGGATGTGCAAAAAGTGCATCTGAGAAACTCCAGGAGGAGAAAAGGATGTGGCTGCCTGATTCCTCTGAGATGCTGCTCTTCTCTCTTAGTGGTGAGTGCCTGAGTCCTTGATCTCCAGAGAGGGAGGAAAGGGATGAAAAAAATCCATTTTCTTCCAAGTCACAAGCTGAGGCTGGGGATTGCTCAAACAAGGCATTTTTGGCTCTGTCCTCATGTAGGTGAGATGCTCTCAACATATTTTCATGTACCTGTGATCCACCTGGATCGGGACTTGTGCATGAGGCAAACTGCAGGTACTCAGAAAGTTTAATCCTCTGGGCTGTCTCACCAAGTGTTGTCTGCCATCAGCTGCCACCCTTCCCACATCCACTGGGTGCTCAGTCTCACAGCCCTGAGTCTCTTTCCTGCTGCCCAGAGCAGACTTTGCAGATCTTTCTTTTCTCTGCAAGTTACTCCCAGCTGAGGATGGCAGACTGGCACCTACACCAGGGGGCTGAGCTGCTCTTGGTGCAGCTCAAACCTCAAACACGCTGGAGATGTCACTGCCACTGGAAGGGATGCTCAGAAAGGGAAGACTGAAATACAAAATATTACCTGGGATTTTGGAGACAAGGAGTTGGGCCCAGCTTTCCCCTGGACTTGCACTGTGAGAGTCTCAGCACCAGACACTTCATGTGAGTAGGAGCATCTTGGGGTGCAGGAATGTCTGTACAATACCTTGTACAGGCACAAAAGCAAGGATGCCTTGGAGGAACAGCCCCAGACTCCTCTGAGAACCTTGTGAGAACATCACCAGTGGCAATGCAGGGCTTGGTACCTTTCTGCTCCCATAAACCTCTAGGCTGTGTGTGGACAGACACACCTGGATGCACCAGGAGGAGGGAAGAGTTCCTTGAATGTGCTCCCAAAGCAGCTCATCTATCCACACCTGCTCCAGAACCATCCCAGAGGATGGGTGGGCTGGTACCCACTTGTGGAAGGGAATCCATGTTTATTCATGTTTTCTGGTGCTGTCTGTCCATAGGATCCTGGCTTTTCTGCATCAGGTGCTGGTGCATATCTGAATCAGCTTGGCCTTGTGGTGCTGTGAGATCTGGGATCAATCCAGCACATGGTGGAACAATGCTTCAGACCTATTCTCTTTACCAACAGATTCAGTTTTATTGTTATTCTTTTTTTACATGATTCTTAGTGCATCATTTCAAATAAACTATCAAACTGTACAAAGAAACAGAGATAAAAGAAGAGGCGATAAAGTTGAGAAGAGGTTTTTAGTGTCATGAACCATCATGGAAAACAGTAGTCCATAGGCTCTCAAACATTGAAGGTCCAAATAAATCTTAGTTTGTTTGTTTAAAAAATGCTGCAAAATATAAACAATAAATGAGCGTAATTAGCAGCTACAAGATCCTTCAAAACTGGAACTTGATTACTGTGAACGCACCTAGGGGAAAGAAAAGCAATCTGAGATAAAGGATCAAATGAAACATGAAATAAATAAAGTGTGGGAGGACAGTCGTGGCATTGAAATGCAGAGGAATCACTTCAGCACAACAGTAAATCATTGGACCACAGACAGCAGAAAGGAACAGAAACACAATTCCCACTTAAAAGAGTACAGCATGTGCATTGCAGGATGGAGGAATACAGCAGGGACGGGCAGGGGAAATCACTCCTGCGCACAAAGCTTCCACTGGAGCTTGCACACAGCTCCAGCTGTGCCTCGAACCCAGGGTGGTGGATCCCCCGGCAGCCAACCTGGCAGCCACTGGGGCAGTTTGTCTGAATAAGCAGGAATGGGAGAGCGATGTTGCACAGCAAAGCCAGGTGGGATTTCCATTCGAGTAAAAAAAGGAGAAAAAAGAAACAAAAAAGATACACAGCTATTCCATTTTTTTAGAACATCCTGGTGGGCTGGTCAGACCCTCCACGTCCCTAGAGTCTTCCCCAGGCAGCTTGCCTTCACTTGCACACTGAGGTTAAAAACCCAGGTTAAAGTTTCCTTATATATATATATTTATTTATATATATTCATATGTATATATATATATATATAAAAAAAGGGTAAGGTGACAGAGGACCCTTCAGGCTTCTCCTGCCATGGGCAGGGGACATTCCCACGTGCCCGTGCTGAAGGTGACCAGCTCACAACACCCGTCCTGTCACGCCGTGCTCCTCGTGGGGCAGGGACGTGCCCCTGCCACCCTGTGCCCCTCTCTGGGAGCGCTGGTGGTGCCACAGAGGTCGTCTCAGCTCAGTTTCCTGCACTGCCAGGGACCACGAACCACTGGGGATCCAGGGAGGGAAGGAGAGAGACAGGGCTGGTGGAGGAAAGAGCCACCCAGCCCTTGAAGAACCAGCATATCCCTTTGTTGTGCAGGCTGCAGCAGGAGGGAAAGAAAAGCCACTGGTGCAGTTGGGAATGAAGAAGAGATGATGCTGAAATGCCAGAGCATTGTCAGAGAGTGTCAACTAAAGCTTCTTTGATTTCCTTCACTAGAGCAATCCCCATGTCAGACATGTCTACAGTTTTGCTCATATAATTTCCTAAGTAAAATTGTGCTCATCAATCTAAGTCCAGGAGCGCAGAGCATGGCCGGTTCATCCCCCCGTGCACATGTTCCTGGTTAAGTGTTCTGCTCTAAAATGTCCTTTTCTGCCTTACAGCTGATGGACATGTGCCCCTGGCTCAGGGAAGGGCTGGAGTGCGTTTTCCGCAGAGCGAGGTCGTCGGCTTCCACCTTGAAGAAACTGGTCTCGATCCTCTCCAGATCATCTGTCCCCACCTTTATCTTCATGCACAGCAGGTTGATGTACGTCTCATAGCGGCTTTTCTGCAGGGAAAGAGGGAACAGAGAGCCTGGGAACAGGGACAGGCCATGGTGTGTGTGGCACGCAGGAACAATTCCATCACCTACTGCACGAAAACCCATCCTACACCATCACTGATCACACCCCACAGATTCAACCCCAGCACAATGCCTGACTGTTTGAAGGACTGAGGAGAAATGGGAGTGTGGGTCTGTGTAGGACTCTCCAGTTGCTTTTACAGGTCTCAGCTGCCACTGTGATTGTATAAGGAGGATACTGAGGGCAAAATGAGATCAACAGACCTGCTGCTTCCTGATTTAGGAGCTCGCCTTGATTGGTTGAAATACTGCTGCTTGTCATTGTTTCCATCCAGTGGTTCAGTTACTGCTGCTGAGTTGTGCCCCCAGTGCTCCTCAAAGAGCACAGGATAAAGGGAGGCATCCTCTCTGCCTAGATCCTCTGTTCCAATGCTAGATGGGATCTTTCTGAGGGCTTGTGTAATACCCATCCTTTCTCTGAACATCTCAGAGGCAGCCTGTGATGGCTTCTTTGTCAGCACAAAGAAACAAGCATTTCTGGAGCACATCTCATAAGACAGATGAGATGAATTATGCCCTGGAAGTGCCAGCTTCTCCTTGAAGACTGAAAAGGCAGTCCAGAGAAAAGCTCAGATAGAGACTTCTCTGCAGGCATCCAAAACCAGAGGCTGGAAAAAGGCAGGCAGCAGCAACTATTTGGAAAGTGGTACAAAGAAAAGGGAACCAGCAGCTGGGAGCTGTGGCTTTGGAGAATCAGGCTGGGTGTTACACAAAAGGATTGTGCAGCCCTGGCATGAGGGAGGTGGGATATTTCCATCCTTAGTGATTTTTTGGGGCTCAGCCACTAAATGGCACACTCAGTGTGGGCTAAAACTAGGAATAATCCAGGTTCCTGCTGGAAGCAAGACTAGAGGCCTCCAGCAGTCCCTTCCCACTGACACCTATGTGACAAGAACCACACCTTCTGCTCAACTCTCGCTGGAACAAAATACCCCATTTCTCCCACAGTTAAATGCTTCTTAGACTTTACAGGGAGTTCAAACTTATGTACATGCATCCTCAAAGGGTCTGTAATCGGCTGTAACACTGGGTTTGGCTTTATTTACAAAAATGGTTGCAGCAAAACAGGATTAATTCTCCCAGGGATTCCCTTTGCTTTTTATTGATGTTGCTGAAAAAGACTGAGTCACACTGAGAACTGAACCAGTCTGGTACTTGGGACCTGAGGAAATGTCAAAATTTGGCACAGTAAAGGAAGACTTTCTTTCTTTTGTCAGTTTTTCCCTCCTCTGGTGTGAAATCACAGAGAGAAAGAAATGGCTCTTATTTCTTTTTTCAGCTTCAGTGCAAAACAGTGAGGCTTGTGGCTGCTCCAAGACCCCCATCCAGTTGGGAGCCCTTGTCCTTCTCTCTCCTTTCACACTCTCCCAGACTCACAGCACCCACTCTGGAGTTCTGCTCTCCTCAATCAGCCAAGGTACCATTTATCACAGAAAAGATGAAAGTTCCTTTACCTCAAATATTAGGTAATGTTCTTTGAGTCTGTATTCCTCAGCCTCTTTTGACTTGAGGCTCTTCTCTACAGGATGTAATTTATGCTCTGCTAATTCGTCTGCAATCTGCTTCATTTTATTTTCATGAGACCTCAGCTGTTCCTCCTGCCGAGAGAAGCGTGTCAGGTATGAGAACGTGGAGTGCAGCACCCGAGTGCTCCTCCTGCCTGTGGCTGGGGGAATCTCTTTGCAAGAGCTCAGCCCCTGTGCTGGAGCCAAACGTGAGCTGTGCACTTGCAAATTCATCTGATAAGGAGCAGCTCAAACACAGGTATTGGAGTGAGAGCAAAGCTCAGGTATCTCAGGTGCCAAGAGTGGATTTCTTTGGCACCGAGGCATCTTTGGCATCATAAGCACAGAATGCTCCTGTAATGTGCATCCTGTACCAGCCAGGCAGAAGCAGTGCTGTCCCAGGAGCTGCTCATCCTGCTCTTTTCAGAGATAGAGGAACCCTCCCCATCTGACAAAGTACCATCCACCCTCTGACCAAGGTGACCATCTGGCCACATCTGTCTCAGCAGACAGCAGCTGGGTCTCTGCCCTGACATTTCAGGCTGTCCCCCCTTTGCTGGGGGGCAGTGGCAGTGTGTCCCCACTTCTTGGAAGTGCTAAGGCACGTTGGGCCTTCCCTGGAAAGGGAAACAAAAGCCACTCTTTGGATGGCAGCTGCTCTTGGTTAGCTGAGCCTGGTGCACTGTGCCCCCTTGTTTCCAAAGCTTTCCCTACTGGCTGGAACTCAGACATCCCTTTTCTCTGTGGGTTTTGAGTTCCAGAAACAAAAGGGTGCCATGAGATAAACCAAACCTGTTGGGCTCTGCAGCATCAACTCTGGAGCTGTTCTGCTGTTTCCATTCCAGCAACAGGAAGGTGCTGGGATGTGATGGGCAAAAAAACAAGAAACAAGCCAGAACCAACAGGCAGGTGTGTGCACAGGGCTGTTTACAGCCATTGCAAAAGGAGCTCTGGCCACAGGTCAGGATTTTCCATCTCTGTCCAAGCTGCCCACCCCACTCCCCTGTTCCTGCACTGAGCACCTGAGTGTGTCCATCAGGAACAGGGGGAGCTGCAGATGGGCTCACCCTGAGCTGAAGGGCTTGCTGAGCACTGGGCACCCCTCCAGCACCCCTTCCCTCACACATTACCTGGCACAGCTTGGTCATGGATGAAGGCAGGAGCGGGCGGCAGAACTTCTTCATGGAGCAGATAGCAGCCGGGAAGGCTGGAGCAGAGAAAATGGCAGCAACAAGGTTGATCCTCAGGATCCAGGAGAGCATTTCTTCCTTGCTTCTGTTATGGAGGAGGGGAGAAGAGAAGGGAGTCTGTAAATGCTCTTGAACCAGGACCAGATAACAGCCCTGACAACAGCCCTGAAGCCAGCCACGCTCAGGAAGGGCATGGGTGGCCCTGCTTTGATGTCACCTCTGTGCCAGGTTATGAACAGAGGGAAGCACTGTCTGACTGGCTCCTCTACAGTGCCCTGATGATCTCAGGGCTGCTGTCTGCCTCTCGAAGCCTGGGCAGTCCTGCCCTCCTCATCAGCTCTGGCTGCATTCCTGAGGAGCTGTGGAGAGGCCAGAGCCAAGGATGTCCTGCTCTTAGGAGGGTGAGAACCACAGAGCAGGATGTCACTTATGTCATTTATGAGACACTGCCCAGGGTCTCCAGTGTTTCCTTTATCAAATCTGTCCAGATACTGCCCCCCAAGCCTTCAAGTGGGTGTTTGCTGCACAAATTCAGATGTCAAGCTTTAGTTTGACATTACTACCCCAGCCCTACAGACAATGTCACCTCACTCAGCAGAAGACATGAAAAACGTGAGACAGAAGATGGCTTCATCACACTTGACACTTACTAACACCATAACATTCCTCAGCAACGGGCTCAGGTAAAACATCTGCCCTGGCTGGGGAGACTGCTTTAAGGAGCTTTAGACAGTTTCCCCATCAGAAGCTGACAAGGGGAACCATCACCTGCACCACACAGATGTTCTCCCTTCCAGAATACACCAACAGGAGTCAGCAAGAGGAGCCCTTTCACTCAGCCCTGCACACCCCCTGATCTTTTGAGTTCTTCTAAGCCTTCTGATGTTTACATTCTGATGTTTACATTCTTGTAACAAACTTTCTCACGTACTTTTCTGTAAATACTTATTGTTTTGCATTCTTTTCTGGAGGAGAAGAAATTTGATGGACTGTTGGTTTGTCCAGTGTGGACAAGGACAGTGTGGACAGTGGGGAGGTGGCACTGCCACCCTCCAATCCACTGTCACTTTTGGAAATCTATAAATGTTGGACTGAGAATTAAACTTCCCTCTTTTTCACCTTGAAGAATCCAGAGTCCGCGTCTTTCTATTTCGTGTCCTAGAGTGACACCAGCCCATCCTGCTCAGCCTGCCTTGGTGGCAGCTGGGAAGGACCTCAAGGACTGGCACAAAACCACCAAGAAACTGTGACCTACGAGCCAATCCTTTGCTCAGCCCTGCAGAAATGACCCTCAGCCCCTGCCTCCCCCACATGTGCCCCCTAAGGCGTGTGCTGGTCTGGCAGGGGCTGGAGGTCAGGCTGCCCCCCCAGGCACTGCAGGGAGGGCTGGCACTCACGGGGCCTGGAAGAGGAAGACTCTCCAGTCAGCTGTCTTCAGCTTGAGCACATTGGACTTCTTGCTGTAGTCGGAGGCTTTTGTGGCTAAGGCGTGGTGCACGCGGATGGCGTTCTTCAGATCCACTTCAGAGAGGTCTTTGTCAGGTTTATATTCATCCTGTGGAGAGGAACGTTAATTGGATAATGACAACACTAACATTTGTGGGATGCTTTAATGAACCTGCCTTTCTCCCCGTGCTATAATCACAGAGTGCCGAGACCAGGAAAAGCACTGCTTTGTACAGTAAATGCTAGGAGCTGATAATGATAATAATTAACATCTGGCAACTGCTTCCATCATTAAGTTCACTGGGAAGATGTAAAGAAGGAGATGAAAGTTTTAAAGATAATTATCAATAGTTATTTCTAACACAGCACATGCCTGAGGCTTTGTGGGGAGGCACAAAGCAGGGCCAGGTTTCTGCAGAGCTTCCCCCACAGTGCAGGGCTCAAACCAGGATGCAAATCCCAATCAGCAGAGGATATCCACGAGCACCTGCCCTGGTGCTGCATCTTCATGGACTCATACAACGGTTTGGGCTGGAAAGGACCTCAAAGCTCATCCCATTCCAACTCCCTGCCATGGGCAGGGACACCTTATCCTATCCCAGGCTGCTCCAAGCCCCATCCAACCTGGCCTGGGACACTTCCAGGGATGGGGCAGCCACAGCTTCTCTGAATAACCTGTACCAGCACCTCACCGCCCTCACAGGGAAGAATTTTTTCCTTATATCTACCTAAATTTCCCCTCTTTCAGTTTAAACCCTTTGCTCCTTGTCCTGTCACTACAGTATATATGGAGGAAGCCCTGGAACAGCAGCATCCCTGCAGCCAGGGCACCTCTGCACAGGTGAGGGCCTGATGGGCAGTTGTCAGACTGAGAGTGCCCTCCCTGAACCAGCTTTGGTCTCCCTCTAGTATACGTGCTCCTCTGGCATTGTTTCCCCTGTAATTCCTTAGCCTGGCACTTGCAAACTGCAGCAGCATTCCCTGTGCTCCTGCTTTACTTTCCCCACTTCACACAAGCAGGGAATGTAGCAGTAACTGTATGTGTTTATGTTTTATAAAAAGGTAGAAAATACCAAACATGAGACTCTGAAATTATGATCTTGGCACAGCACTTTTTAGGAAAAAGAAAGTTCAGTCAATGCTATGTTTACCCTTTTACTTTCCCAGTGACTTTATGCAGTATCCTGCCTCCCACTCTGCATCATTGCCAGCTCAACCACTTGGATGGTGGGATGGCAGGGATGGACAGATGGATGCATGGATAGATGATAAAAGAGCCTGGTGAAAGAACCCGGCCCTGGCTAAAGCAAACCAGCACCCCATGCCAGGCAGGGTGTCCCTGGAAGGCCCTGCCTTGCCCTGATGATTACAGTGCTACAGGATTCATGTGCTCTATATTTTGCTTTCCTTGACTGCCCTGGGCTGTCAGCACCAGGCCAGGTCTGTCTGGTGATGATGGTCTGTACATCCCAAGCCTTCCTTAGCTTCCAAGCCAGAACTGTTGTGCAGATCTGCAAAAAGATGATTGTTTTCTGTTTCCCCTGTGCCAGTGGTACAAATGCAGCTGTTCAGGGAGGAGCTCTGCTGCAGCCTCTGGGATGGGAACCCTGGGCAGTGGGGCTGTTCTCTGCTGTAGGGGCACAAAGGTTTCCCCTCTGCTGCTCTTGAGAGAACTGAGGAGCAGCACTCCCCAGCCCATGGATGTGGCTCACCCAGCTCTTGCTCTTGATGCTTCTGAAGCCTTTCTGCCCTCATTTTTCAAAAGAATAATCCCGTCAGGAGAGTGGTTGCCATCCTGTGCTCATCATCAAATGAAACTTGGCCTGGTACAAAGAAGTGCCATGGGCCCACCCACAGATGTCTGGCACAAGATCCTGGGGATGGTGAATCCCAGAGAAAAGCCCTGAATTTCCAGCAGAGGAGGGCTGGGTGCTGCAGGCATCCTGTGTTTGGGGAGACACTCAGGTGGGCAGGACAGATAACCTTGCCATTGTGGTGATTTCAGTAGCCACAGGGATGGGCTGTCAGCCTTTTCTGCAAAGAAAAACAAATGCTTTGCCTTGAGAAGACCTAATGTGTTACCCCACTGCAAGAGAAATATCTGCTTGAGGAAGACATTGCTGCTCAGACCTTACGTATATGGATATTTTTCCAAGGCTGAAGCTCTCTGGATTTGAATAAATCTGGCTGTGCTGCCCATGATCTCTTATTTCAAAATAAGCTTTCTGAAAATACGGTGCAAAATAGCCCAGCTTAATGGTGTGTGACAAGAGGAAACTGCCACAGCTGCTGAGTGCTTTGACTAATGCAGATCCTCATCTTGAATGGAATCATCAAGTGTTGCCTCCATGGATTTCAGGCATCAATGCTGGTGGAAGGAAAAATCCAATCTTCTTTTGCTAATGCTGGGCCCAGTAAATCAAGGTGAGGCTGGATGAAGCAGGTCCTCTCTTCCTTTTGCCTTGCTGTTCACAGGAGTGAGCAGTGCTGGAGGCTCCCTGCTTGGGATGGCTCTTCCAGGAGGCTCATCCCAATGCCAGGTGTCACAATGGCATGTTTGGCTGGGACATCCCAGTGCCTTTGAGTCACTGTCCCCTGCTGCCTACCCCTGTGAGCAGATCCACAGCTAATCTCAAAGGTTGTTTTGCCAAGAAAAGGCATCTGGTTCTTGTGCCTGCCTTTGTAGGGCACTGGATAGGGTGGGAGAGCCCAGTGTGTCAGTTCTGCTGCCTCTCCTCTGGCCTCAGAGCCAGCCCTGGGCAGTGCTGGGAATGTGGCCATGGACTGACAGATATTCCTCATGCTCTGGCTTGTGAGTGGCATTTCCTCTTCTTTCTTTTCTTCAACTCTCATCGACCATCCTAAACAAACCATTTAATTAGGAAAATGAACCCTTGTGCCCTTTTCAGTCTAGGCAAGGTCTTAGAGCACCTGGCAAGGGTCTGCCTGCATGGGACAGCCCCTGTGGCTCAGGGCTTGCTGGGAACCCCTTCCTGCTTGGGGACAGGGCCTGTGGGAAGACCTGCACCCTTTCAAGCATTTCTGTGCAAAAGCACCTCATGCTTTAAGCTCTCCATCATTTTTCTTAACCCCCTTCTACGTGTAGTGATTAAGGGTTATTATCCCCATTTCACAGAGGTGAAGTAAGTTGCCAAAGGCCATGGAATGAGTCAGTGCCCAGAGCAGATTAGTGCACAGGAGAGGTGTGCCCTGCTCCCAAGCCTGCATTTCTTCCTCCAGACTCTGCTGCATCCCTTTAGGGGATCACGCAATTGCTTCAGCAGACTGGCTGGAACATGCTGATCCAGCAATTAACACCAGCGAGTCAATGACATGTGACATCTCCTCATTAGGCTTATGGCTGCTGCCTGAATTGCTTGTCAGACTGAATTCTACCTGTCCACCCACCCTTCTGCCTGTGCTATGTCCACCTCTCTCTGTATCTGGCCATTCCTCCTTTCTATACACCCCCAGCCCCTCCTTCCTCTCACCTTCCCTCTACCTCTCAGTCTTACTTATACTCAATTTGCTCCTCAAAACCAAATGGAATTCCCTGTTCAACTACCATGAATTTACTATTAAAGCCCAGATCCTTAATTTGGTCTGAGCAGAAAAGTGGAACAAGCTGAACCTGTGCTCCATGACATCAGGTACTTCTGGAAGTAGTTCCTTTCTCCTCTATCTTCCCATCAGAAAAATCTTTCCCCAGTGATTTATGCTCAGCCAAGGTTCCACCTCATGTTTATCTGCAGTTGTCTTCTGCTGAGAGCTTGGGAGGCTGGCACACCACTTCCTTCCTGTATTGTGCAATTCCTTTGTTCTGCAAACCACCCCGAGGGCAAGAAATGACACCAAGGATCCACGGGGCAGGTGGATGTTTATCCACTCTCCATTAATCCACAGCACTGTGGTGCTGGGAAGGTTTGCAAGTGACAGGGCAAGGACTTGGTCTCCGTGTTCTCATCCTTCTGTCCTGTCCCTGCAAGCCTGACAGACGCTGTCTGTAGCCAAGCCCAAGGAATTCCCTGGAGAGGATTACAGCTCAGTCTGGCAGCAGCTCACCAGTAAGAAACCCCTCTTTCCCCAAATCCTTTGCCCAAACATTCCTTAGGTTTGTTTTTGTTGTTGTTCCAAATGCTCCTTCCTTGGGGCATCCTTGGCAATTCTGGTCCCTCCTGCTAATTACACATCAGTCATGGCTCTTCTTTATCAGGCACTTTCATAACACAGCCAAACCTTGGGTGCTTTGTTCCTGCAGTCCTTGTCCATAAAGAAAGCCCTCAGTCTCTGAACCATTTGATCCTGAAGGTCATTGAGATAAGAGCATTGATCTCCTCACTGCCACGTCAGCCTCATCCTTGGTCTCTTTTTAAATCCCAAACACCTCAGACAAACATAATGAACTTTGTTAATGAGTGGTTACTGCTGCAAGCCTTGTACAGCAGAGAAGCCCCAGCCCCCCTGCCCCAGCAATGACACTCAAGTGTTGGCTTCACAGCTCCTTCTGCTGCCAGGGAAGAAAATTCCATCCTGAAAGGGTATTTCATTCTCAATGTACACCCTCTCAGCAGATTCATCCCAAGAGAAGTCCTTGGTAGAAAATTCATTTAGATCCAAATGGTTCTGTGATAGCTGAAATGTCTTTTTTTTCCCCACAGAAAAAGTGTCACCAATGAAATGCTGATGGTAACTCTGCACAAGTTAAATCCTCATGTGTAACCCATGGGTCAGCATGAGGACTCTGGTGGGCTCCATGTGAAGATGTGCAATGAGACAAGGACTGAGGGGTGAGAAGAGTGCTGCTGGCTTGAAGAGCACCACACTTAGAGGGCTGGAGGAGATCTGGGCTCCTCCCTGTGCTGCAACTTCCCTGAGGTGTAGGAGAGAGCGGCACAGCTGTAAAAACATCACTGGGCTGAGAGCAACCCACACTGGGAGTGAGCATCCACTGCTGCCAGGTTTCTGCTGCCCTTTGACGTGTGCCACAGGACCTGGTGAAACACGAGAGGCATTGAGGTGTGCTCTGAGCTCTGACTCATAACTCCTGCTGCCCCCAGGACCTTTCTTCCTCTCTTATATAATCCACTGTTTGTTTACTCTCATTGCTGTGGAGATAATGCTGCAAGAGGCAGGAGCATCTACCCATGGGGAGTGCTGCTCCAGCAAGGTGAGTGCAATGGGTTACTGTTGCAGACATCTTTTATGAAAAATCCTTTCCTTAGGATTTTTCCTCCTGAGAAGCTGAGAGACCTCAGGTGCAAAATATAAACAATGATTACCTGCTACTGTGGAATGCAACAGGTGGATTTTTGATTGGCCCATGTTGGTTGTTTCTAATTAATGGCCAATTACAGCCCAGCTGGCTCAGACAGAGAGTCCAAGCCACAAACCTTTGTTATCATCCTTTCCTATTCTATTCTTAGCCAGCGTTCTGATGAAATCCTTTCTTCTATTCTTTTAGTATAGTTTTAATGTAGTATATATCATAAAATAATAAATCAAGCCTTCTGAAACATGGAGTCAGATCCTCATTTCTTCCCTCATCCTAAGACCCCTGTGAACATGGTCACAGGTTACTGCACAGCATGTGTTGCTCAGGTAGCTCAGGCTAGTTCAGTGGGTTATGTTGATAATGAACATTTGGCATCCTGGGCTGGCTCACACTGACATTCAAGTGTGCCCCTATCCCATCTCCTCAGATTTTCCCTCAGAAAAAACTTTACAGCAAACCCTCCAAGCATCCAAGTGCCAGAGAGCTGAATGCTAGAGCATTCAGGGAAGCTATTCCATGGTGACTTTGTGTCCCCCAAGGACCAGGGAATTACACTTGTGTTGACTGGAGGAGGCTACACAATGAACAGAGATGGAGAGAGGCACCAAGTGTCACTTGACAGCCCATGGAAACACCCAGGTCATCAAGGTCCTGAAGAATATAAACTTTCAGCGTAGAACGATGGAATCACAGAATCTTCTCAGCTGTAAGGGACCCACAAAGACCATCAACTCCAACTCCTCGCCCTGCACAGGACACCCCAACAGTCCCAGCCTGTGTCTGACAGCCTTATCCAAATGCTGGGCCTGATGTCCCCAGGGCACAGATGTCCCTCCTGGCTGCCAGGGCACTGCTGGTTCATATTCAACTGGCCATCAACCAGGGCTCCCAGGTCCCCTTCCACAGCTGCTCTCCAGCCTCTCATTCCACAGTCTGTCTGTGCATCCAGGATTACCCTGTCCCAGGTGCAGGATCCAGCACTGCCTTTGTTAACCTTCATACAGTCCATGACTGCCGGGGCTTCTCATTTGTCAGGGTCTCTCTGCAGGGCCCTTCCTTTGAGGGAGTCAACAGCTCCTCTCTGTTTAGTATTGCCTGCAAACTAACTAACCTGTGTCCAAGTCATTTATGGAGATGTTGAAGAGCACAGGGCAGAGGTTGTAGCCCTGTGGAACCCTACTAGTGACAGGTCACCAGTCTGATGTCACCCCAGTCACTGTCACCCTTTGTGCCCAGCCCATGAGCCAAGTGCTCAGCCACCACAGGATGTGTTTATCCATTCTGTCCAGAAGGATCCTGTGAGAGACATTACCAAAAGCTTTAGTGAAACCCAGAGATATTACATCAGCTGGCTTCCTATGCCAGACTCAATAAAGCTGTGCACAATCAGGTCTATGCCAGCAAATAAAACTATAGGCAGGATAAGACTGGTCAGATGCTCCACCTCTTCACCTTCCTGTTTCATTTCTCCCCAGCATCCTATTTCACCTATTCCATATCATCAGTTCATTCATCCTCCCCAACAGTTCCTACTTGCTGGGATCCTTCTGCAGAAATCTGTCTTTCCTCTTTCATGCTTCCTCCTCCAGAGTTCCCTTTGAGGCTGTGGATAGTGCCCTGAGCATGAACAGCACCACCAAAGATGAGAGCATCCTCCAGCTCTGGTCTCTGGAGGAGCTCTGTCAATGTCCATGCATGAGTTAGGACATGGATTCATCTCTGCCTGGGTGTGTGAATGCATGACTGCTCTGGAGACAGCAAAGAGGAGAATCCCCCATAGTTACCTTTTGTAAATAAAGGACAGTCCCCTTAAGCACAGCATAAAATTTCTTCCAACCTCTTCTTCCTCTGGGAGCTAAAAAAGGAAGAACATTTGATTGTACATGTCTGTCAGTGCTGCTTGACCTTCCAGACAAACCCAGCCCTTCTCCTGACCCACCAGGGGCACTCCCTGATGCCCAGAGCTCCCACACCTCCAGGCTGTTGCTCACCAGTGGTTTGTGAGCAGGGACAGGTGTCTGAGGGAAGTGTCTGGGCTCTGCAGCCTCCCAGCAGGAATGCAAGCAGGTCAGAGCCTGACATGAGCTGGTACAGGGCTGCCAGTGGACACCTGGAAGTCTCTGCTCCTCCAAACCCAGGTTCATGTTCCTTGGACCTAACGCTTGGAGAGCAGAGACATTCCTTGAGCTCCTCAGCTTGGAATTGGATAAGGCAGCTTCTGTTCCCTTGAGGGGGGAGCATTAGCATCTCAATGGGCTTGGGGACAGAAAGCTTGGCAGAAGCTGGAGAGGGGTGGGAGGTGAGGGGAGCCATCCACATCCCACCTGACAGCTGATCCTCCAAGCACGGGCTGTTGAGAAGGTGCTGGAAGCAAGGGAGGCCTCTGGTAGTAATCTCTACTCAAGATTTTTTTAATCAGCTGCAGTGATTGGCCCAATCATATCAATTAGCAAAAGGAATTACCCAAGGTTTAATTAATCTCTGCTCATTAACAGCTCCCAAATACCTTTACCTTTCCTGTAATGCCATGTGCTGGTAGCAGAGCTATGGGTTGTTCTGTAGCTCAGCCAGCACATGGCAAGACATGGACAGGAGCAAAGCTTGGCAGGCCAGACTGTCCCCAGGGTCAGGGCTGGAGTGGACAGCTGCTGAGGAACCAGCCTTCCCCCACTGCTCAGAGCCTGGGATTTGGGGGATGGAAGACCAGGTCTGAACCAGCCTTCCCCCACTGCTCAGAGCCTGGGATTTGGGGGACGGAAGACCAGGTGTGTCTGGGTTAGATTCCTTGGCAGTGAGAAGGGAACACTAGGGCTTCCTGAAAACCCATCTACAAATGCCTCAAAACACCCTCCTTCTCCTCTCTCCTAGCACCTATGGGCATCTTTCCTTTGCTACCTGGGGTGTGGTGAGGAAATGCCTTCACCAGGAGAGGCAGGGCAAGGCTCTGGGACTGCCTGGGCACCTCTCCTGTCCCTGTCCCTTCACGTACTTCTCTTGCCATCCATGTCTGCGTGGGTTTTGCGGGTGAGGACGCCGTGCTTGTAGGTGACAGCGTTCAGGGCCTGGGGGATGTCCAGGAAGGGGTTGCTGCTGTCCACAATCCTCGTCACTTTCTTGGCGCTGGCTCCGAATTTGTCATCCACCAGCTCCGAGAGCGACTTCCTCAGCTCGTCCTCGTCACTTGGAAACACAATCAGAGAAGAGAGATGTGGGTTTGGTCACCATGCAAACAGCCCTATTTGATTTGGGTTTAGGGTTTTTATTTACAGGGCTAGTCAGAGAGAGAAAAACAAAGGAGATGTTGGGACCATAACACAGAGAGTGCCAATAGTGGTGGTCTGGGCTGGGGGGAGTGTGGGTGGCAGGTGACTGTCCCAGTGGTCCCACTGTGAGGTCACTCAGGACAGGTAAGGGACTGGGTGCTGGTCTGAACACCAAGAAACTACAGACACCTCATGCTGAGGACTGCAAATATTTCACAGGAAAAGCCTTCAATTCTGTGTCCTAAAGCCAGAGCTTAAGGAGGATTTTTGCTGAAGACCAAGGTATTACCAGCATTTCCCAGCTGCTCAGAGGCAATGCCTGGGGCCTCCTAGACAGTGAAGTACCTTTTTTAGGAATGTCCACTGCATCTTTTAGGAACAGAAGATCTGCAAACATTTGGGAGATGAACCTACTTTGGCACAAAGAGAGCAGAACTTATATGGGAAGTGATAGTTCCCAGTGTCCCTGGGACATGAGGGTGAAGGAGCAAACAGGGCTTTTCTGCCCTGTCTGACACATGTCAGTGTCTAAAGTGGTCACCTCAGGTTGCAGATCAGGTTGGGACCAGACCTCAGCTGAGGACTGACCCTCAATGAATCCACTGGCTGGCATGTGACCAGTAAAACACAACTCCTCACCTGCAGCAAGCAGATGGCCAAAGCATCAGACACCTCTTGGAAGAGAAGGATGATTTCTCAGCCCTCAGCTCCCACAGGAGTCCTGGGGCTCAGGCAGAGCCCAGATCCTGTTCCTGGCTGGGGAGTTAGTGGGGCTCAGGCATTTGGGCTGCACCCCTCTGTGCCCCTTGCTGTTGGTCACATACCTGCCTGTCTGGTGGGATCTGTGGGCAAGGGCACACATCTCCTTCCCTGGGATGGACAAGGACACAAGGCACAGGCCAGCAGAGAGAAGAGGGTCCTGTCTGTGCAAGGCTATGACTCAGTGCCAGGTCTCTGACAGAAAACCTGGTACCCCATGTCCCATCTGTCCCACTGCAGAGGAGCTGAGGGCTCTGAGCCTTCAGCCCAGCAGGACATCCTGCAGCAAGGCAGGCCCCAGGCTGGCTGGGATGGGTGAAGGGATGCAGGGGTATAGTGAGGTGGGTGAAGAAAGGCAGAAAGGATCTGGATGCTGCTGGCTGGAGACACCCCACAGTAGCATCAGCCCAGCAGGGTGACATCCCCAGCAGGGTGACATCCCCAGCAGGGTGACATCCCTGGGATGTGCGTGAGCAGGGTGATATCCCCGGGACCCCGGTAGGGTGACATCCCCGGGTTGCCCCCAGGCAGGGTGACATCCCCAGCAGGGTGACATCCCTGCAATGTGCCTGAACAGGGTGACATCTCTGGGACCATGGCAGGATGACATTCCCGGGACCCACCGGCAGGGTGACATCCCTGGGATGTGCTCGGGCAGGGTGACATTCCTGGGAAGAGCCCAAGCAGGAGGCGGTGCTGTGTAATCACTGCCCGCATCCCGAGCTCCTGCTGAGCTGCCCTTCCATGGAGCAGCCCGAGCTCCCTCTCGCGACAGAGCCCGGGCCCGATGGCCCCGCCGGAGTCACGGAGGGAGGATCCAACCCGCTCCCGATGCTCTCTTTGGTCAAGGCAACATGAGGAAGAGAGCAGGTGATGGCACAGAAGGTCCTGCTCTGTCCGGACACAAGAGAGGTCTAAGATTGAGGAGAGAGGAGAGGAATGTCCCCTGTTCCCTGTGCCAGCTTAAGAGCTCAGGTCTGCCACGGGTGTCCCCTCGAGAGACACTGGAGCTGGGACCTCGCTGATGATCCTGGGCTGTGCTCTGAGTGGCAGAGCAGGGGAAGGAGGACTGAGGAAGGTGCAGTGTGATGGAGCCCACCCTGCCAGCTGTTTCCAGGCTGGTTTCAGGCTAACAAATCTCATCGAACTGTATGTGGATGGCATACAAAAGAGGGGTACAAGGCCACGGCTGGGAGGGCCAGGAGCACCCGAGTGCTGCACTGGGGCTGCGGGCGATGAGCAGGAGCAGCAGGAGCAGCCGGTGTGTCCTGGCAGAGCAGAGGGCAGCAGCATCCTGGGCTGTGAAACAGCGGCACAGTGAGGAGGAGAAGAGAAGTGATGGCCTGCTCTGCCCTCCCTCCATCTATCGTGGTACAGCAAACACTCCGGGCCCCAGCACAGCACAGCACAGGGTATCAGCAAGGTGAGAGACTTCAGCTAAGGCCAGACACCTGGGGGCTGGTGTAGCCATGATATTTTATGAAAAATCCTTTCCTTAGGATTTTTCCTTCTGAGAAGCTGAGAGACTTCAGGAACAACATGTAAACAATGGTTACCTGCTGCTGTAGAATGCAACAGGTGCATCTGTGAGTCATCATGTGCTTGTTTCTAATTAATGGCCAATCACAGTCAGCTGGCTTGGACTCTCTGTCCAAGACACAAGCTTTTGTTATCATTCTTTCCTTTTTCTATTCTTAGCCAGCCTTCTGATGAAATCCTTTCTTCTATTCTTTTAGTATAGTTTTAATGTAATATATATCATAAAATAATAAATCAAGCCTTCTGAAACATGGGAGTCAGATCCTCGTCTCTTCCCTCATCCTTGGACCCCTGTGAACACGGTCACAGGCAGGAGCACTTGCAATGTAAGAAACAGCTGAGAGAATCTGACTTGTTCAATCTGCAGAGGAGATGGCTTTGGGGGACCTCATGGAAGCCTTGTGTGAGGGGTTATTGAGAGGACAAAGCTGGGCTCCTCACTGTGGTGCATGGCACAAGGACAGGAGACAGTGGGCAGAAGTCAAACAACAGAGGAAAGATACAATGCCACTCTCATAAAGTATTGGTTTGTGGATCCAGAGGGGCTGTGGGTTCCCCATCCTTGGAGGGTTTCAGGATCAAACTGAACAAAGCCCTGAGCACCCTAGTCTGAATTCAGTGCTGACCATAATTTGAGGAGGGAGCTGAATTAGAGATCTCACAAGGACTCTTCATTTTTAAGTCATTCTCTGATACTATTTCCAGAAAAAAACCCGTGTGGGAGAGATGGAAAATCTCAATGACCAAAATAACCCCAGATCTTTGCTTGTGCAAAGACTTCTGAAGCACCTGGAGAGGAACCAGCATTTTACAAGTGTAATAGTAAACAAAGAGGGCATTCCCTTCCTTTAGGTCATGGATCCACAGACTGTCACCAACCTTCCCAACTGCCTTTGTGTCTAAGCCATAAATAAACTCCATTTGTCTGTCTGCAGAGGGACTTCATCACTTAAGGGCTTGGCAGGAAATATTCTGGGATTGAAAACATGACTTAAGAGCTGCCAGCCACTTGGAAAGACACACAATCCCCTTAATGGTCAGCATATACTTACATGGCCCACTCCAGCTTCTCATTCTTGATGGAGTTGTACAGTGTCTGGAAAAAGAACATGGAATTAGCTGTGCCTGCTTGTGGAGGCATCTCCTCCTGCACACCCTGAGTTCTTGGAGATCCTTTCCCTGCTGAACTGTCCTGGAGAAGCTTTGCCCAGTGAGCAGGATGGCTGCTGTCCTGCTGGACCCTTCTCTGTGTGTGCCATGCTGGGAATTGGGCTGGACACAGCAGCAGCAGAGGGCTCTGGCAGCCAGCCCTGCTCAGGAGCCTGAATGTGACATTTCTGACTCATTCTGGGTGCTGTACCTGGTTCTGAGTGAATCCTGGCCTGCACACAGTGGTAGAAGATTCTGGGATATGCTATGACACCTTTAGTGTCTTAACTAAGTGAAATGACAGGGGAGGTTTGAACTGAGTAGCAGGGGAGGGATGAATGACCTTGGAATCAGCTTTTCCAGTCCCTTCTGTGCACAATTCCAGTGGCTGCCCTGGGGCACTGGAAAAGAAGCAGGAATGGGCTAGCAGAGCAGAATGTGGAGGTGGTCCTGACCATACAGAGGGGTAGAATAGGGTGAGGTCTGCAGGGAGATGGAGATGTCACCCCAGACATGATGTGACACCCCTGATGTGGCACCTCTCATTCCAACCTCCTTCCATACAGTGAAATTCAGGTCAGGCTGCTGCACCTGCAGTGGTGCTGCTAAACCACATGGCAGAAGAAAATATTCCCTTTGGGACATGAACAGATCCCATGGTAGTGCACTGGGTGTGTTGGAACATTGCATTTCATCATGTGGTAGTGGAGGCTAAGAAAAGTTTTGGTGGTAGATGGCTGTGTTTTGGGGTGGGGAGAACCTTGCTTTGGGCATTATCTGAAATGCTGGAGGAAAAGGGCCCCTGGTAGGCTCTGAGGGCAGGTATGCCACAAATCTGGATAAAACTCCACCAGGGAACAGATTTGTTTTGGCTCACTGCAAGTTAGCAGAGACATTCACGAGGGTTACAATTCTTCCCCTGAAACAACTGGAAAATGCTGCTTGAAGGGCTCAGGGCGTCCCAGCAGGACTAGGTGGCACTGCAATAATAATGACAGTATCCCACTGTCTATTTATATCACATTACCTTCAGCAAATCCTTGGCAAAGTCCTTCCCATCGTTCAGCCCATCCAGGTTTGCTATGAACTGTTGGCATGACATCTTCTTGCCAATGTTCTGTAAGGCAAAGCAGCAGCTCATTAAACTTGTGGAGAGCTTTGACTTTTATCAGTGACTTTCAAAGAACAATTTGATATGTAGTGCTGAAGCCTGGGCTTGTCCCCAGAGCTCAAAGGGCTTCTGATCTGATTTGCTGTTGGGCTCTCTGCTTTATTTGCTCATGCCAGCATCCAAATGTTTCAAATGGCCTCTTTTTCAATGGTGGAAATAAGACACCTGAAAATGGCCTGTCCAGCTCTTGCTGGAGAGGTCCTGGGTGCAGGCTCTGTGTCTCAGAACTCCAGACAAGCACTCCACCTGGTGAAATGACAATGTTTGGATGGGGCTCCAAGCCTGCTGTGAGCTGAGAGAAATTGTGTGAGCTTGCAGTGCCAGCACCTGGAAGGGCCAGCACTGGGCAGGGGAGTGCTGCTCCTTGATGGAAGCTGCTGTTTTTGACTGCCAGTACAAAAAGAAATGGTCCAGCCACTGGTACTTTGGAGAGGGCAACACATGTGCACTGGGAGAATCCCACAGCCTGGAACACACTCAGCACCAGCTGATGCCAACCATGTTTGGGAATGATGCTTCCAGGCCACCTGGCATCCCTGATATCATGGTTTCATCATCTGTGGCATCTGTTCTCCCAAACCCTTCATCCCTCACTCCCTCAGCCGGCAAGAGTCGAGGCAGGCAGCCTCTTCCCAAGCCTCCCCTGCAATGCTACCTCTCCAGAGGGATGGAGCAGAGGTGGGGAGGAGTCAGAGGCAATTACAGGGCTCAGAAAAAGGAGTTTGATGTCACAAAGGAAAGATGGGGGTCTCCAGTGCTATGTTATATCCTTCACTGCCTCAGTGTGTGGGGCAGACCCCGGTGACATCACTTGGAGGGGCCAGTGGAGCCAGGGAGGACAGCATGAGCTGCCACTGGTGGTCCTGAGGGTCCCAACAGCATCCTGACACTGCTGGGCTTCACATCAAGGTATATGCAGGATGAGCATCTAGGAGGATGTGGGAGATTGGCCCAGAAGAGCAGAGTCAGAACCCTGCTCAGGGCTCAGTGAGGAAGAGGAAGGGCCTCAGTGGGTCTGGCAGGGGATGAAGCTGCTGCAGAGGATACAGGAGATGCCCTGCAGGGTGAGATGTGTCCTCTGTGCAAGGAAATAACCTCCTGAAAGAGATGACACCAGAAACCACTGCCCACGAATGTGCACTGCAGGAGACCTGGGGAATCTCTCAAGATGAAAGCAGGAGGAAGAAGTGAGGCCTTGGGATGAGCTCACCGTGCCCCCTGCACCCCCTGCCTCCTGTTGCAGACATCTGTTATGAAAAATCCTTTCCTTAGGATTTTTCCTCCTGAGAAGCTGAGAGGCCTCAGGAACAACATGTAAACAATGGTTATCTGCTGCTGTGGAATGCAACAGGTGCATCTGTGATTGGTCTCATGTTGGTTGTTTGTAATTAATGGCCAATCACAGTCAGCTGGCTTGGACAGAGAGTTTGAGCCACAAACCTTTGTTATCATTCCTTCTTATTCTATTCTTAGCCAGCCTTCTGAGGAAATCCTTTCTTCTATTCTTTTAGTATAGTTTTAATGTAATATATACCATAAAATAATAAATCAAGCCTACTGAAACATGGAGTCAGATCCTCATCTCTTCCCTCATCCTGAGACCCCTGTGAACATGGTCACAGCCTCCTGTGTGTGCAAACTGGGCTGCACAGCCAGCCAGGCACTGTCTTTGAGCCTGATGCTCTTAATTATGCCTCCTGCTGGTACCAGCTCCGGATGAGCAGGCTCCCTTGAGAGATCAAGAAAAAGAAGAGTAAAGCCCTGTTACAAATCTGCAGTGCCTGGGGACTGCTGTGGCACAACACAGCTCAGCCCTCGTGGCTTCCTCCTGGGGAGCTGCATCAGCCAGAGCTGCCAGCCAGGGCTCAGGGGGTACAGGGGCTGCAGGAGGCTCAGGAAAGGAGCAGACATGCAGGGATTGCAGCAGACAGGAGAGATTTGTGTGCTTGCTGGCCAGCAGTGAATTTGGGACAGAAAAGGTAAAGGAAAGATCCAGCAGCACCACAGAGTGTGGGAGGAGAAAGGGAGGAGGGCAAGGAGCCTGCAGAAGGGAGCTGGGAGGTGAGGCAGGTGCTGCATGGGACTTTGAGGCACAGGAATTGCTTTGCAGGGAGAAGGTGCCCATTCCAGCCATGTCATGAGGAGGGGAGCAGAAGGCACAGCACTGGCCTCTGAGCCCAGAGTGATTCAGCACTGGATGCACTTCCAAAAAGCATTTTTGAAGTGAGTGGATGCAGTGAGATAACACAAATCACATCTCGCAGGCCCTTTTTGGGGTTCCTCATGTGTGTGTCTGAGGCTCCGTGGCCAGGAGGGCCAACAGTGGCAGTGGGAAAGGACACAACTCTAAGCTTTGTGTTATCCTTGTCCCAGGGCACAGATGGATCAGGGCAGTGCTTTCTTTGCCATAAGAACTCCTGGAGCTCATACAGCACCAGCACAGCAGAAATTTGTGACTTGAATTATCCTACATGTATAGTCTTGATGCTTTAGGATTTAGCTTTTTCTATTTTTGAGATCCTGCACTGCTTTGGTGTATAGCTCTGAAACTCCATGGCCTGTCAGTTGCTGTTCCCACATTTCAGTGAGATAAAACAGTTCCTCTCTAGGCCTGGAACTCAAGGACACCTCACTGTCTCAGGCCCCAGAGATGTAAACAACAGTGAATTGGGGGGGATAACTTGGAGTAAATGACTTCATTACCTTAAGCTGTATTTGGAGAATTCACCCCTGAGATGTAAATGAACCAAACTTCAAATTGTCTGAAAAACTCGTGACCATCTTCCATCCTCGGTATAGCCCCTCAGAGGCTTTTGACTGCCCAAGGTGAACCTATTGAAGGCCTTCAATAAATACCTGCTTTTATTCTCTTAAGTTTGTCTAGCCTCTGTTTTAGGTGGCCACTCCAAGGAATCAGCATTCCTTGTTGTACTTGGAGTGTTCTTGGTGACCACTTTGGCTTTTAACATCAGCTCCAGGTGCTTCCATGAATAGGGAATGTCTCATTTTAAAGTTTTCTGGGTGGTTTGGAAACGCACCTGAGTAGAAAATCAACAGTGCTAAGGCCAAAATCTCCTGCTCTAAAGCTTTGTGCCAGGTCTTTGCTGGAATGCTGAGCTAGACCATGCCAGGACACTGCTGTGAGGAGCTGCCCCTTTACAGACACACATCCACCCCCCTCTCCTCACCAAGGACATCTCCCACTCCAGGAATTCACAGGAAAACACACACACAACATTTAAAAGGAAAATAAAATCTAAAGTGACATGGAATGTCATGGCAGCATCTCTAACAAGGAGGGGTGGGAGATCAAGTCACACATTCCCAGGTACACCACAGTCCATGGAGGTTTCTTTACACCAGGAGCATTTCATGGGATGATATCGGCTGCTAATGGCTTGCTAAGTAGGGAAGAACACTGCACAATCACTTAGGATTCCAGACAAACAAAACTCCTTACTGTTTTTAACACAATCAAAACAAGCCAAATGCCAGTGCTTTAAAGCAAAACACTAGAAGGACTGCACTTACCACCTGGTAAAGGGTTAAAGAGCAGAAAGAGAGGTTCCAGAAGCAGAAGGAAATTTAAAAAAAATAAAAAAAAACAAAAAAAAAGGAGGAAAAGGAGAAGAAGAAATTAATGTTACACATGCAGAAAAATAAAGAGAAGATTTTTCTAAGAAAAGGTCAGGCATTTGCACACCTGGTCAAAAGAAAGTTATTTTTTCTGTGCCTAGATATCATGAGAACATTTCTTCTTACCAGGCCTCTGAGCCAGCTTGTCCACGAAGAATAGAAATGGTAAGGCTTTTGAGGTTTAGGTTGGGTTTTTTGTCCCTTCAATTATGTCTATCTTCCCAGAGGCATATTTTGGATTTTTTTTTTTTTTTGCTTAAAAAAACTAGACAAACTAAGATTATTTTGGATTGAAGTCACATAGTTTGCCTTTTGCCACAATGCTGCTTTTGCTGCTGCAGGAAATGATTTGATGGAAATAATTCCTAGGCTTTAACCATTTTGGCTGGAGGATGGATGCTCTATGAGACTGATCCCATACTGTGTGCAGAGACAGGTCACTGGGAGCCTCTAGAAGTTGCTGAGAGATCTTCTCACAGCTTCTGCCATTTTCCACCCACTTTTCTGGGCACTGAGCTCTGCTCACTCTATTTTTTTTTCCTATGAAACTCTCCAGTGGCTGCCTGTTACATCCTGGGGAAAAGGAACAGCTGAACTCACTTCATGTTTTGGGTAGGGAGGATCAAATCCAGACTTGTGTAAACCCACTGGCCCCCTCTCAGCAGTTTTTGGGGAGGGGTGTCTGCAGCACAAGAAGGAGCAGCCCCCAGGGACTTCAGGGAGGAGCTCACTGAGAGCTCCTGGGCAGGGCTGAGCTGGGCAGGATCACTGATGTGAGCAGGACTCATGCCTTCGGTGTGAGTGTGCAGTGACACTCAGGTGTGCACTGTCCCCACGTACCCAAAATTCCATCTGCAGCAGGTCAGAGAACTCTCTGCCAACCCATCTCAACTGTCCAGCAACACACACAGCACCAGGAACAGAGATCTACCCTGGGAATTCCTCCCTGGGAAGGAATAAAGGATGGATGCTCCTCCAGGGGTACTTACATGGCCATGGAGGTCTGTGTTGAGCAGCATCAGGGCACAGGTGAGTGTGTGGATCCCATCTGAAACACACAACAGTCACACAGCTGGGGCTGCTAACTCCCCTGCTCATGCAGTTCTGGTGTTTGCTGTCTTGGCAGCCCAGCCACTGCTAAACCAAGGCCAGTTGCTGTGTCTGGGAACCCTAAAGAATATCTGCTCCCTTCAGCTGCGTAGGATTTAACAAAACAAACCAAAACAAGCAACACAAAAAGCCCCAAAGACATCCTCTTTTCCCTCAGACTTCACCTTTTCCTAAAACAACCACCATAAAATTGGCTCCAAAGCAATTTTTCTTTAAAAGACCAAACTTCCCACTTCTAAACCCAAAGCAGCTGCTTGTGAAAGCACTATTCCAGCACAGTAATATTCCAGTCCCTGCCTCCTCCCTGGTGCTCTCTAGCCCTTTTTGTGAGGTCCTTCAAGGACCAGTCCCTGTGCCAGAGTGTGTTTGGCTCTCAGTGCTGTCAGCTGGCACGTGGAGTCTGCTCTGGCTCTCTCTGGGTGGGGGGGTCTGTCAGCACCCAGCATCCCCAGCCCTGTCCTGGGCAGGGCCAATGCCCAGAGCAGGGACAGTGACCAGAGCAGGGACAATGCCCAGGGAAGTGACAATGCCCAGGGCAGGGACAATGACCAGGGCAGGGATAATGACCAGGGCAGGGATAATGACAAAATGACCAGGTCAGGGACAATGCCCAGGGCAGGGCAGGGACAGTGCCCAGGGCAGGGACAATGCCCAGGGAAGTGACAATGCCCAGAGTAGGGCCAATGCCCAGGGCAGGAACAGTCACCAGGGAAGGAACAATGCTAAGGGCAGGAACAATGCCCAGGGCAAGGACAATGACACAACACCCAGAGCAGACACAGTGACCAGGGCAGGGATAATGACACAATGCCCAGGGACAATGCTCAGAGCAGGGCCAATGCCCAGGGCAGGGCCAATGCCCAGGACAGGGCCAATGACAAAATGACCAGGGCAGGGCAGGGACAATGCCCAGGGCAGGAACAATGCCCAGGGCAGGAACAACACCCAGGGCAGGAACAACAATGCCCAGGCCAGGGCCAATGACACAACACCCAGGGCAGGGCCAGTGACCAGGGCAGGATCCCTGGGGCCGGGAGAAGCTGCAGCTGTGTCTGCCTGGCTGTGGGTGGTTTGGCACTCCAGCCCTGTGCCCAGGTGCCCTGTGGCATGGCAGGGGGCAGAGCAGGGGCAGCAGTACCTTCAGAGGTGCTCTCCTCGGGGTTGCAGTGGCAGTAGCGCCGGGAGAAGTGGATCAGCACCCGCTCCCGCTCCTGTGTCTCTCCCATCAGCGGGAATGCCTTCAGGAACGTCCTGCACACACAGAGGGGTGCTCAGAGATGGCCTGCCCAAGGTGGGACATGGAAAGAGGGTCATTTGTCCTCCCCCCAGCCCCACAGCCTGCAGAGGGGCATCCATGGAGCTGTGCAGGGGAATTGCTGCCAGCTGGGATCTGATCCACCTCGGGCGTGGTGGCACCAGGATGGGTTGCCCATCTCAAAGAAAAATAATTGTTCCCACTTGCTCTGATTCTGTATGGGATGGGATGCCTGGGAGAGCTGTCTCCACCCTGGGGAAGCAGGCTGGGGGCCCTCCTGTTGAAGCCCATTTTGGAGGCAAAAACGTGATACCAAAGCCTGAGTGACAGCCTGGATCTCCCCCCAGCCCCTGCTCCTGTAACATGGATAGCTCACACAGTGCTGGGAAGCCTGGAGGAAACCCCAAAATCCCACCACCCTCTCCATCCCAGAGCTCACCTGAGTGCTTTGTCAAGGGTCAGGCCAGTGAAGTCAAAGAAGCTGAGATACTCCTCTGCTACCAACTTGCTAAATTCATTACTGCAATTAAAGAGGGAGTGATCAGCCCCTTCATTGGGGAAGATGACACTGTCCACAACAGGAACAGCAGAATGCTGCCTCTGGGCCAGCCCAATACCCAGCAAGACACGGCAGACACCATCTCAGACACAGGGAGAATTGCTCCTGGCCTGGAGTGCTGCTGGAAGACCTCCCTGATGTGCACACAGCCAGCCCCAGACACCTGAGAATGAGACACCAGACCAGCCTCCAGCTGCCCTGCTGCACCGCTGTGTTGTGCTGCTGGCCAGGCAGAGCCTGCTCCCACACCAGCCAGAGCAGCCATGGGGATATCCTGAGCTCCTCCAACACCTGGCTCTCTCCCAGTGCTGGCTGTGTCCCCTCTCCCACTGCAATGTCCCTGCTCTCACCCACAGAGGCTCCCATCCCACCCTCTCTCTTGCTCCTGGGGCAGGTGGGTGCTGCTGGACACTGCAGCAGGAGAGCTCCAGGCAGGGCTGCTGGCTCTGCCAAGGGGGCTGGAAAGTGCCATAAGACATCAGAAGGCAGCCAGACCCCTGCAAACAACAAATTCCTGCATTTCCAGGGACCCAGTTATATAGTTGGAACTCTTCTCCCTGAGCCCCAGAGGCAGTTAACATGCCCCAGGCCATGGGATAACAACAGGGGCCAAGGCAAGACCCTGTCCCACCCTAAGATGGACTTTTGTGTTTGCTCTGGTTTCCTCACTCACGAGTTATCCTCCCCTGTCTCTGTGCCAGTGCCAGCCCTTCCTGCAGGAATGGGTGACACTTCCACCATGACAGAGGCATTGCTACAAGGAGAGCAAGGCATTTCCCACGGGGACATTCCTGCCATGCTCTGGCTGGTGGCCATGCAAAGCATTTCCTGTGGGGACATGCCTGGCATCCTCTGCCTGCTGCCCTTTCAGCCTCCACAGAGCTCCTCTCACCTTACAGCCCAGTGTGGTGCTCCATCCCTCTGCCTGCTTTGGGGGGGGACAGGCACCAAGAGTTCTCACTGACCTGCTGGGTCACAAGCTACCCCAAGGCGACACAGGAGTGTTGCAGACATCTTTTATGAAAAATCCTTTCCTTAGGATTTTTTCTCCTGAGAAGCTGAGAGGCCTCAGGTACAAAATGTAAACAATGGTTATCTGCTGCTGTGGAATGCAACAGGTGTATCTGTGATTGGTCTCATGTGGTTGTTTCTAATTAATGGCCAATCACAGTGAGCTGGCTTGGACAGAGAGTCCGAGCCACAAACCTTTGTTATGATTCTTTCTTTTTCTATTCTTAGCTAGCCTTCTGGTGAAATCCTTTCTTCTATTCTTTTAGTATAGTTTTAATATAATATATATAATAAAATATTAAATCAGCCTTCTGAAACATGGAGTCAGATCGTCATCTCTTCCCTCATCCTCAGACCCCTGTGAACACGGTCACACAGGAGCCTTGGCCTTTTCTCCCAGTCCATTCCCATGTGTCTGGACATGGAAAATTTGTGATGTTTTATGTGAATCCCACTGCCCTGCAGAGCAGGGCTCCTTCTGGCATCACCTGGGGCACATCAGTGCCATAAGAACCCGTGTGAGTAAAATCTCATCTCTGGGGGGTGAAACAAGTCTTGTGCCCTCGTTGTGTGGCCCAAGGCTGGGATCCTGACAGTGCCCACATCCCTGGGCAGTGCTGGAGCTGTCCTGGGCTCTGCCACAGGGATTTGGTGAGCACAACTCTTGGAAACCCTACAGGGAAGTGCCACCTTCACAGCCTGGGACAGTTCAACCAGCAAAAGATGTCCTGTGGGCACTGATGGAACTGAGGGGGCCCCAGACCAATGCTGGAACAAGAGAGTTCCATGGAGAGTTCAGTTTCCCAAACATCTGCCAATGCTAATTTCAGGGTTTTAGGTTAATTTCACAGAACTGAGGCAGATGGAAACAAACTGTGGGGAGATATCCAACCTTGTTTGTCAAGCCTTTTCTGCCTGTTTGACAATGATGAATAGTTTTGGCTTTGGTTTACTTTATCTTTTTTAATTTTTTCTAGAAAATTGCCAATTATCACAAAGAAAAAAGAAGTGATAAAATGAGATTTCACTTTTTGTACAGCCCTCCTACATAGAGCTGGTCTGAAAGCATCACTGAAACTTAGTCTGTTCCCAGCACTATAGGTTGGTCTTACATTGTCTTAAGTGAGCAAGACTGACTTAATACCTATATTAATACCTATAAATACCTATCTTCACCCTATTTCCTTTTCTGCTCTGCCAATCCACCCAAGAGTCTGCAGCTCTATTTAGGTCCCATGTCAGGAAATGGTTCAGATGTCAAATCCAGCTGATCAAAACAAAACTTTTGTTTCAAAGGCAGTGAGATCCTCAGATGTGGGTCACCAAACAGCCTCCCCCGAGCTGTGAGGGCTGCAGGTGTGAGTGAGGACTGCAGGAAATAGCAAAGGGACAGACTCAGGAACCCAGTGCTTGAAAGTTCCCCCCTCAGTGAGCTGTCATGGCAAATTTGAAAGAAAGGAGAGGATGTTACACACCTGAGGCAAGAGCAGCCAGCAATGCACCTGCTACAAGAACCTCAGCAAAGGAGGAGAATGAGGATTTGCCAGGTGATGCAAAGAGCCTCTCTAGGAGACAATTCCTGGGCTCCTTCTGTCCCAGCACTGAGCTGGGAATCACACACAAGCCTTGTACTGAAAGTGTGAGTATTTGCTGAGGGACAGGTGTGTTCTGCTGATCTGGGCAGGGGGAAGACATTCCAAGGACAAAAGGAAAAAAAAATAAAATCCCAGCAACGCAGGTTATATCTGATCCAGGCAAAGGATGATGGGGATTGGTGCCTTCACACCCACTGGCATCCTAAAATAATCTGTTACTGCTACACTCGTTGCTGTTACTCTGTCTCTTAGAAATCTCTGTACCTCTCCCACTTTTGAATATTTTTTGATTTCCCTTCTGCCTTACCCAGGCAAATCTACCAGCTGAAGAGCCTGGACCTCCCTGTGTGTCCCTGGCTTTCCAGTCAACCCTTCCTACTCTCATACAGACTGGGTTGGGAGGCTCTGCAGCAAGGGCATTTTGGGGTGCAGACATGAAAAACCTGGGGAGTGGAGGGAGCCCAGTGCACAGGCAGGTCTGGCACCCAAACCCTTCAGCCTGGGGATTGCTTTGGTCCTGCTGGGCTCTTCCCAAAGGCAGGAAGCTCTTGGTTCTGGTGGGCAGCAGCTCGTGGCATTTACTGCCCAATGCTACAGGCAGCTTGTAGCATTCCTATTTTAAGGACATTGAGCTCCCAGCTTCAACTGGGAAGATCTCCTGTTGGGGAAGGTGAAACAGGAAAGCCTTATAAAAATGATTGCCTGGCAAAAGATTTTGAGAATATAGAAACTATAAGCGAGATTGAAATGAAGGCAAGCTTTGAGATCCCTCAGTTACTGAACAACTGGAAAACAATGGTGTGGCCAGCTGAAGGTGATCCCCTTTTGATGGAACAACACCCTCTGCCTGCAGACAGGCCCAAGGGTCAGAGCAGACCCTGCCTGCTTGGCAGAAGGGGCCCAAAGAGGAGTTTTTAGGGTTTAAAATGTAACACAGGATGGTAATGCAGTGATTCTTATAGGCTGTATGTAAATGCTGTAGGATTTGTATCTTGTATTAGATTGGTTAGTGAGAATTAGAATATTCAACACAGAAGATTTATTGTATTGTAACGGGAACCTCGCTCTCTTACCCTTTCATCCTCTCTTTCACTCTCTCATCCTCTTTACCACACTCTTGCCTTCTCTCTCTTTGGCACTCTCTTTACTTCTCTCAGGCCTGTTCTGAGCTGGCAGCTCCCAGCAGGGCCATTTGCAATAAACCCCAAGTTCCACCACCTGGCTTCAGAGATCTCTCATCTCCATCCCTCCCAACCATCCAACCCCCCAGCACTCCTACAACCTCCAGCAGCCCCAACTCCCTCCAGCTCCCAGACTCGACCCTTGCTGCCTTTTCCTGCCCTCCCAGCACGAGCAGTGCCCCCCATCCCCAGCCTGTCACCCTGTCACGGTGACACGTACTTCTTGCCGAGCTGCCGGGCCACGTCGCAGCGCTTGAAGCCCTCGAGGTTGTAGAGGCGCTTGGCCAACCTCTTGGCAGCCTCGCTGTCCGCCCTGCAGCCGTTGGCCAGCGTGTCCGTGCTGCCCTGGTCCAGCTGCTCCGTGCTGCCCATGTCTGAGTCTGAGTCTGACAGCGTGTCCTTCAGGCTGGCATCGCTGTGCAGAGACAAGAAATGTTCAAGGAGCCGCAGTGTGGCACCGTGAAAGCCACAGAAAACGCCACCTTTCCACTTTTTGATTTCTTCTTGCCCGCACAAAAAAAAAAAAAAAAATATGAAAAGCCAGCAATGTGGCTGTGAACTGGACATTGGACAAGCCCTCCTTCATTTCAGCTGAAATGAAACAGTGCAGCGTAATTCCAAATTGGTAGGAAAGGTCAGAGAGAAGGCGGCTTCCCCCTGAGAAATGAGTGTGTGGCAAAGTAAGTAGCCTCAACACCTTTTTAAGCTTCCTCTCTCCCCACTGGGGATCCCAAGCTTTTTCCAAGCCATGAATATCATGGAAATCTTAGGGACAGATGCTATGCTTTTCAGTTCAGGTTATTTGCTGAGGATGGGAAGCTGCACTTGTACAAATCATGTCAATGGGACTGGCACCAGACCAGCCTTTACTGGGGAGCTGCTCCCCTGCAGTTGCCTGCTGGCCTCAGGGCCAGCTGTGCCCACAGACATTGCTCTGAGCAGCCCTGCTGGCACCACGTAGGTGGGCATACAGCCCTTTATCTGCCTGCCCAAGGCCACTTACAGCACCAATTCAAGCATTTTCAAGCAGCGTGACTCACTGCTGGTCTGATAGCTGGACATACAACCTCGCTCCAGGTCTCCCCTGACCTGGTTGCTCATCACCTGGCTTCCTCAGGAAGGGAAGTGCCCTATGGATGAGCTGCTGCCTCCCAGGGGTGATGGTTTGGGTCTGAGCTGGTCTAGAGGAAGAAGTCTCTGCTGATCTCCCCATTGCCTGCAGAAGAACCTTTGGGGAGGCTTCTGTAGGGGTACCCTGTCCTAAGTGCAACCTTGAGGTTTCCCTGCACTTCAGAGGCATTTGGGAGAGCACCTGACTGTCCCCAACCTGCCAAGGGCTGTGCAGGTACAGGTGAAAGTTTTCCTGCTGGTGTTTGGCCTTTCTGCCACAATAGCACATGAGAGGAAGCAGAAGGGGTGAAAGAGCAGTTCCAACTCAACCATGCCCACTGAGCCTTGCTCCTGGACTGGGATCTCATAAGAAAAGGAGCCACTGTCCAAGAAACTCCCTGCCTTACCTGATGGAGTTAATGATCTTGGTGGCATCTTCCTCTGAGCTTTCCACATGGAACCCATTTGGGATACTCTTCAAGGACAGCCTGCTGAGCACATTCTCTGACCTGCTGCTGGTAATTGAGTGTCTGAGAGGGCTCCCAAAATCTCCCTCTGCTGGCTTGGCTGCCCCCAGCTCCTGCTTATCAGCAGCCATGTGGTGCAGGGCTTCTCTCTGCTGGGCTGCCAGTTTCTGCTCCAGGAGCTCGGGGCTCTCCTTGGCCCTTTGCTGGATCAGGGGGGTCAGGGGTGCCTCAAAGCTGACACAGCTGTCTGTCTCGTCCGTCAGGGACAGCACGTCCAGAGAGTCCAGGCTGCTGTAGTAGGTGCCCTTCATAAGGTCAGACTCAACAATCTTCTCAAAGGTCGAGCTGAAGCCATCCCTGATGTCTTTGAATTGGAAATGCTCCCTGTCATCATCACTGCAGCTCAGCTTGGCATCTCCAGAGGCAAACCTGGACCAAAAGGAGAAATGTAGAAAATACTGTCAAGGCAATTCTTGCCCTGTTCCATTTGGAGCTGGCAGGCAAGAGAAGAGGCAGAAAGGGCTGCTGTGATAATGGCCCTTGGGATCTTTCTGTGGTATAACCTACCTGATTCCCAATTTTGTTACAAGATTCTAGCTAAAAAAAAAAAACAGTTTTGTGATGAACAATCCCAGAGGCCCAGCCAGCCCTTAATTTGGTCATGTTCCACTAAAAAGCCAGACCTCTGAACTGGAGACTTTTGCATATGACACCTGCTACTGGACCCAATGCCAGAATAACCTCCTGGTTATCACTGGGCAACTCCCACATTGCCATAATCCCAGGGAAGACAGCCCTGCTCTTTCAATGCTCTGTACAGAATAACTTCTATTAACTGCTCACACCACAGACCTTGTATATTCCAGCCCTACACTTGTCCCCTGATGGCCCCTCACCATCCCCATGTCCCTCTTTTGGACACCACCCCCATGTCCCTCTTTTGGGGACTCCCTAACAGCTTTAGATCTTTCTTGTGGAGCCCAAAACTGCCCCAGGGCTCGAGGTGAGGCCACCCCAGCCCAGAGCAGAGTGGGACCATCTCCTTCCATGCTGGGCCTGATGCCCCCAAGACACGGTTGTCCCTCCCACCCTGCAGGGACTCATGTTCAACTTGCAATCACAAGTTTGCTGTGCTGGTGGAGTGTGGATCCTGCCAGAGAAGGACATGATGGAAACCAGGACTTTGTTGCCTCTGCACTGCAGTCTTTCTGCAAAGTTTTTCTGAAACTTTATTTGACGGAATGTGAATTTTTTTGACAGCTATATGTTGCCATGGGAGGAAATGTGTGGGCAAAAGCTGCGCTCCCAAAACTGCAGGTGCTGAGGGTGCCTACAAGCAAAAGGTGGGAATTTCTCTGTTAAAAATTTTGTTCTTTTTCCATGAGTTCATGGGGCTGAAAGTAGATTATTCCCTGTGGATCTTGCAGTTGGACTGCAGAGCTGTGACCTCCCTGAGACCAGCAGGGCCATGTTGGGGGCTTCTGAGGAGGTGAAAGACTCTAGGCAACACAGCCACAAGAAAGGAAAATGGGGCTTTGACAAACAATAGATGCCACGGGATAAACCAGAAAGGAGGAAAAGGGATTCAGTTAATGCAAATTGCAGCACAAACACTCAATCTTTGGCTCTGTTTGCCTGATTTTTTTTTTTTTACCAACCATTTCCTGCAGAGATGCAGAAACTAACCTACCTTCAGAAGAACAATAATGGGTTCTTCTCCAGCTCTACCATGGATTAATGACCTTGGATGACTTCCCCCTTTAATTCTCCATTCCAGTGGGAAGAGCAACACTCAACACCTTTTTCTAAAGTACTTTAAAATTCAGGGAGAAAATGCATTATACAAGCAGCAACGTGCAGATGATGACAAATGATTTCTCATCAGGAGCAAATAGTTGACTGCTCATTAGTAAAACATCAAACCAGGTTCTCCTATAGCCAGAATGGGTCATTACAGCAATTCCCCAAAGGGGAGTAAAGGAAAAAAAGGGGAAACTCGGAGGTGATGCAGGATGACAGCAACGTCCTGGTGCCTTGGTCCATCTTTTAGCTCTTTCTGAGTGGACAGTCCATGTGGTCAGGGCACAGCAGCTCCACGCTGTGCTTGGCCCAGCCACACATTCCTGCCATTTACCCTAAAGATAGGTGGTCAAAGCACTGATGGGCTCCAGTGCAGTGAGCTAACCAAATCTGCAGGCTCTAAGTGGTTTCCCAGACTTCAGCTGTGTCCCAGAAGTTTTCCAGCTGCCCTTCTGCTTTGAATATAGCGTGTGACTTGTCCCTTGTGCATTCAGCCTCCCAAAAGGCTCATTTGCTCTCCAAATGAATATGTTTAGAGCACGAGATCACGGACTCTGCATGCAGACCCCAGTCAGGTTGCATCATCTCCAAATCCTCAGCCTGCCATTTCTACCAATTCATGCCTTAGTACCTTAAAATAATTGCACTCCCAGTGATTGCAGCAGCATTTTATGACCACTCTTAGTTTCCTCTTGAACTCTGCCAGGGAGCCACCTACCAGGCAAATATGATTCCCCTGAAACCTGAGAGACTTGCAGCTATCCAAGCCCTGACTGCATAGCTCAGGGGCTCCTGGGACCTGCCTGGGACAGGCTCCCCGAGCTCTCTGGACGGCAGCAGCCTGCATGGACACCTCCTCTGCAACACCTTCAGCTGGGCATTTTGAAGCAGTGCTGCTGTTTCTTGCTGGGGCTCTTGAGTGAAACAAACCAGCAGCCTTTTCTAGAGAAGCCTGTTGAACAGCAGAGAAACAAAGCAGGAGGGATGCCTGCTGTCAGCCCACACCCTGCGTGGCTCCTCAGCCCTGCTGCCCACGCTCCAGACAGCACTGGGAACACAGCTCAGCACGGAGCCTGCACGGGGCCAGAGCTAGAAGGTGATCTCCAGGCCACCCTGGCCACCCTGTCCCTTCACAGCTCCTCTCCAGAAGGCCACACTCCTCTGGGACAAGCCCTGCTGCTCTGCTTCAGCCCCTCCTGCTTGCAGCATCTCTCCTGCCCCGAGGTGGGTGCACAGGCAGGGCTGTAATTCACAGCAGGAGTCAGCCCCTGGTGGCTACAACACAGAGCCCTGGCGGATTTCTGGTGGCAAAGGGAAGCATCCATATCGCTCCTGCAGGAATGGCATGGGAAGAACCTCTCCTCATCCCAGTGATCTGTCATTCCCCCCAAGCCCCCAGCCTGCAGAACCCCATGGAGGTCTAGAAACCTTCAGACGCATAAAATCAGCTGGACAGCACACCAGTGTGAGTGTCCCCCTGCCTGGAGAGTTCTCCTGTGAGCCAGGCTGCCAGAAGAGAGGACTCAGGGACTCATGTTCAGGTTTGTCACAGGCACTTGAGAATTAGATGACACTTGTACCTTTTGTCTCACACTGCTGTTCCTGTCACCCAGGCGCTGGTAACACCTGCCACAGGTGCAGTGGAGAGCAGAGCTCAGAGCAGTGCCCACTTCCAGACACACAGCTGCCACCTGCTAGCCCAGGGACTGCCAGAGCTGGCCATGCTGCCAGGGACTCGCAGGGCACAGCAGGCTCCCAGACAAGCCTGGCTCTGGAGCATCCCCAGGCTGCTGTACTTGCCCTAAGTTACCTCAGGTAACTCTGCCATAAGTGCTGCAACTTGCAAGTGGGACACCCCAAAAGTGAGCACAACCAGCTCTTCTCGAGATCCCAAAAGCTTCCCCTTCACTTTAGTGGCTCTGTAAGCTCTAATAACAGCTTTCTGAATTTGTAACAGGAAAAAAACTATGTGAGAAGTCCAGAGAGAAAAAAAAACAGAGCAAAAAGTTACAAACAAGGAAAAAATGTGCGAGAAACCCAAAGAGAAGCAGGAGTGGAAAGCCGCAGTCAGCCATGAGAGCAGCTGCAGCTCCTTAAACTGATGAGTTACACACGGAGCCGAGTAACTCGAACCAAGGAGCCTCGAAAACAACACACGCGAACCGGCACCGAGCCGCCCTTACCCGAACTGCTCCTCCGCCTCGTCGGCACTCAGCGCTTCCGAGGATCCCAGCACGCTGTGCCACCGCTGCTTGCTGAGGGCCCCGCTGGCTCTCTGGGGGCTGGGGGAGCCCCTGCCCCCGAGCTCGGGGCTGCTGGGGCCGGCAGCGTCCCGGTGCTCCCGCCCCACGCCGTTGGCCAGCCCTGCCCGCTCCGCACGGCCGCCCTCGCTGGCAGCGCCTTGTCCCTGCTCGCTGAGCCGCTCGCCCGCCTCTGTCACCGCTGCCACATGTTCGTCCCGCTGCTCCCCCTCCGCCAGGGAGGGCCGAGCGTCGTGCCGGGGGCTGGCCCTGCCGCTGGCAGGCTCCGCGGGCGGGCTCGGCGGCGAGTCCCCATCGCTGAGGGCCGGCGGGGACGGCTGCGGGCCCGGCGAGGGCGGCTCGCCCTCATCGGCGGCGCTCCATGGCAAGGGGCTGCTCTCGCTCATGGTCCGCTCGTGGGATCCCTCCCCGCGCTCAGCTCAGCCTCGCTGCTGCCTGCGAGGGAAAAGAAAACACAGCGTGGGCATCGGGAGGGGATGGGAAGGCAGGTTGAAACCCCCACCTCGCATCCTCAGTGTAAAAGCAGGGAAGGACAGTTTGGAGGTGGTGGAGGGTGTAAAAGCAGGGAAGGACTGTTTGGTGTTTGGAGGCCCAGTGCTCCTTACTCAGGGCAGTGAGATGGGACAGGAAAAGCTGTTGTGGTGCTGAGCCATTGGAGCCCAGGCACCCACCTTTCCTGCTGCTGCCATAACCCCAGAGGGCCTCAGAACAGGGGACGTGTCCCACCCAGGGCTGGGGACAGCAACATGGGCATCCACAGGGGATGGGAAGGCAGGTTGAAGCCTCCACCCCACCTCACATCCTCAGTGTAAAAGCAGGGAAGGACTATTCTGGTGTTTGGTGCTTTTGAAGGCCCAGTGCAACTTACTCAGGGCAGTGAGATGGGGAGGAAAAGCTTCTGTTGTGTTGCTGAGCCATTGGAGCCCAGGCACTCGCCTTTCCTGCTGTTGCCATAACCCCAGAGAGCCTTAGAACAGGGGACATGTCCCAGCCAGGCTGTGAGTGCCCAGGGCTGGGGACAGCAACGTGGGCATCTGTAGGGAATGGGAAGGCAGGTTGAAACCCCCACCTCACATCCTCAGTGTAAAAGCAGGGAAGGGCTATTCTGGTGTTTGGTGCTTTTGGAGGCCCAGTGCTTCTTACTCAGGGCAGTGAGATAGGAGAGGAAAAGCTGTTGTGGTGCTGAGGCACTCACCTTTCTGCTGCTGCCATAACCCCAGAGGGCCTCAGAACAGGGGATGTGTCCTACCCAGGCTTAACCTAGGCCTACTCTTCCTATTAGCCGTGCAAGCTTGGCAGTATGCTCCATCCTATGGTCAGGCTGAGCTTCTAATTCAAAATACGCCCTGACTGGGGGACTACAGGCAGTAGCTCAAACAATCTCCTATGAGGTGACCCTAGCAATTATCCTCCTCTCCATTTTCCTCCCCAGGGTTAGTGCCCAGGGCTGGGGACAGCAATGTGGCATGGCTGCATTTCCCAGACTCGCTGCTGGGATGCTATTCCCTTACATTCCCTGCCCTCCAGAAAAAGGAGAAATAGGTGAAACAGGCAATAAGAGTGATTTATTCTTTTCTAACCGTTCTAAGCAGCTGTGCTGTGCCAACCTGTGTGATTCTCCCTGCTGAGCTAGCATTTCTGCAGAGCATCTTTCCTGCCAGAGCACCACTTCTCTTTTCCCCACACACAAGTATTGCTGAAGGGTGTCACAAGCTGCCAGCTAAAACTCTGGCAAAAGTGTCCCGATTGAATATTCCCTAGGATGCTCTCTCTGTAGGGCAAGGGAAGGACACTGTTTTGCACTATATATATATGTAGTTTTTTGACAAAAAGTCACTTTATTGGCAAATAGACCAATTGATGCAAAGTCTGCAAGGTCTTACAAGCACCATCCTCAGCCCCACAGTGCTGTGCAAGCTTTACTCCATCATAGCCCTCCCACAGCTGCAGTCAAATGCCACCAGAAATGATCTCTTCTGGAAGCAGGAGTATTCTGCATGGCACCCAGGCTGAGCCATTGTAACAGCTGATTTTGGTTTTAAGCAATATGTGTCTTCACAGATATTTTTAAAATATTATCTGTCTTCATAAGTCTGTTCAGCCTGGAGGAGAGAAAACTCCAGGGAGACCTTAGAGCCCATTCCAGAACCTAAAGGGACTCCAAGAGAGCTGGAGAGGGACTTTGATAAGGGCATGAAGTGACAGGACAAGGACAAATAGCTTCACACTGACAGAGGGCAGGGCTGCATTAGAGATTAGGAAGAAATTCTTCCCTGGGAGGGTGGTGAGGCCCTGGCACAGGGTGCCCAGAGCAGCTGTGGCTGCCCTTGGATCCCTGGAAGTGTCCAAGGCCAGGCTGGACATTGGGGCTGGGAGCAGCCTGGGGCAGTGAAGGTGTCCCTGCCCAGGGCAGGGGGTGGGAGGATAATCTCTGAGATCCCTTCCAACCCAAACCATTTGGTGATGTGACTGTGATTCACCTGCACAGGAAGCCTGGCTAATCAGTGCCAGCAGGCACACAGGACTCTGGGGTTTTCCCCCTAACTCAGTTCCTAACTCACATCTGAAGCAGATCATTCACATTCCCTGCCTCAGTTTCCCTCTCAGTAAGCCATCACCTTGAGCAGCCAGGAGGGTGCCCAGGTTCAGCAGCAGACTCTGAGTGCTCTCATTTGCTGAGCTGAAGCTTTCATTAGCAGTAAAATCCCTAATTGCTGGGCCAGGTCAGTTCTTGTTAACAAGGGGTGCAGAACTGCAGCTGCCTCTGCTCTGACAGAGCACCCCTCACCCTGTGGAGATGTCAGCAGCCCCTCGCTGCTGCTTCTTCCTCTGCACCCAAGTAGAGGGAGAGGAGGGATTTGGACCCCTCTGTGGCCTGGGTAAGGGCAGAACCACATAGGTACATGCTGAGCTGCTGCTGAGCAGGCCAGATCCCAAAGGGAGCCCCAATTCCTGCCTGACTTTGCTCCCATCCCACAGCCCAGGCAATCCTGGACCTCAACCTGACCCGCTCTCCATGCCCTGCTCCCCACAGCTGGGATGTGTGATGGGCTGGGGAGTTCACAGTCCCACAGCAAGGCTTTGGGGTGAAGCACTCCTTGAGGGCTGCACGTGCCACAGCCCTGAGATGGGGCAGGTCCCTCCTGGAGGCTGAGCTGGGCAGTTTTACCTCTTGTCCAGGTGCATCTGTGTGCATCCCTCGGTGTCACAGCGCGCGCGGCACGGCCGCACTATCGCAGCCGGATGCTCCTGATGATCCCTGCACGGCCCCTGCCTGCAACAAAGGAGCACAGAGAGTCAGACCCAGGCCAGAGAGGAGAATCCTGCTGCTTTCCAGCCTCCCTGCTGCTGCTCCTCATCAGGCTGTTCCCCAGACCCATCCCATGGCTCCCTGGCAGAGCGCTGCAAGTGCTTTTTCCTCAGCAAGCTCTGGTTCTCTGAGGTTTTCAGACATGGCAGTGCAAGAGTATTCCTTACACAGGGCTTCTGACATCATTCTTTACAAAGCCCCCCCAGCCAGATAAAGTGGAGCAAAGGAACTCTGTGGTTGCAGGTTTCAGGAGAAATTTGTCAATGTGAGCCCGCAGAATGTTCAATTTCACCCATCAGATCCATGTAGTGAGATACCTGAGTTTTGGACTGATCTCCCCAACAGCCCCTCCTCAGCCCCACCATGGTAAAGGTCTTTGAGCTAAATGCAAGCAAATCCAAGCTATCAAGTGATAGATGTAGCAACATTTCTCTTGCAGAGTGTTTTGCACAATGCAGGGATGGACAGTGATGTGTCCCCCTGAGGTGACCCCAGGCTGGGGGAGCATGTCAGGTCACCACAGATGGTGTGTCCCCTACAGACAGCTGCCTGAGCTCACAGGCCAGACTTGCACAGAGTTGATGGAGACAGAAAGACAGGACAGCACTGCCTGTGTGCTGCTAGAGGTGATGGGTGGGTCAGGGCCCAGATGTGCCACCTGCTTTCCAGTGGCTGGAAAGTGCCCACAGAACAGCTTGGCAGGAGATGTGTGTGTTGATCCCTGCAGAGGGATCTGCTTATACCCTCCCTTGGGCTTGGCCTTGCAGGCCTTCAGCTTCATTCTCCACTAGCCTGACAAGAGAAAGTGTTGGTGACTTCCTGGGTCACCAACACATCAGCCTCCAGCCTTCCACTGGTCCAGAATCCCATCTGCAGGAGCTGAGGGCAAAACAAGCCCCTGGGACAGTCCTCAGGTTCACACATGTGGACCAAGTCTCCTCAGCCTGTTATCTGCCATCCCAAATTAAGAGGGAAAAGCTGTAAATCTCTTTCCCACCAAATCCAGGAGAGAAAATCAGTCCCAGGCACTTGGTGTTCCCATGCACTGACAGCAGGACCCAGACAGTGCAGCATCTTCCAGGAATTTACTTGCAAAACTACCAACACTCTCCTGAGCACAACCACACTTTGATCTCAAAAAATACTGAAAACCTAACATGGGCCAAATTTTGACTTTCTCTAAGTGAAGATATAATACAAACATGTAAGACATGCAACACCGAACCACTGCTCAAATCTTTGGGGGAATCTTTCCAGCAAAACTTTGCTGGTCTTTTTCTTAATATGAGATGAATAATGTAGGGGGTTTGAGTGATTTTTTTTAAAAACAGCCAGAAGGCTTTGAGCTGAAATTCTCCACCTCCCTGCCATCCATCCAAAAACTCCAATAGGAACCACCCAAGCTGAATTCCAGTCCAACAGTTCAAGCTTGGCACAGCTGTATGCAACCAGAAAACAGGAAACCAAAAGCAGTTAGGAGATGAGCCTGAGTCAAAAATGTTGACAAACCTTAATGTGTGGTGTCCCAGCCATCCCTCTGAACTTTAAGTAACTTACATTGTTTATATTAAAAGGAAAAAACACCAGAATTTTTTTATTACATATAAACTACTACAGTTGTTAAGCATTACACTACTGTTTCACCCTCCGTGAAGTCTGACAGGAATGTTTGTGGTCTGGAAGGAGTGCTGAGGAATCAATAGTTAGAGCCTTAGTCATGTTCCTCCTTGGCCTGTGTTCCTGCTGGAGAAGAGGCACCAGGGAAACCCTGGCAGGATGTGTGCACAGACTGTTGCTGAGCTGGGAACACCATCAGCTTCCAGGGTGACAAAACTGGAGCTGAGCACAGCCAGGAGGAGAATCCCAGGCCTCTTGCAGCCTCCTGACCCTTGAGGTTTGTGTGTCTCCCATTGCACACACCTGCTTGGGGGCTGCAGTGTGCAGAGAGTGAAGCAACCCATGACAAACTCCCAACAAGTCACCAACCACTTGATTTTTGCTTGCAGTGGCAGTCACTTGAAGCACACACAGGTTATGAGTGGCTGAGGCTTCCCAGAATCTCCAGAAGAACGGCCAGATTGGATTGTGACACTCTGTGGTCTGGTCACAGCTCTTCATGGTGATGGCTTGCACTGGAGTCATGCAGCCAACTCCTGCTACACTCCCAGCTCATCCCATGTCAGCTGCAGAGGGTCTCTCCCACCCTACAGCTCATCTGTGACCTGCTGCCTCCCCACCTGTGTGGGGAAGGTGGAAGAGCAAAGGGAGGAGCAGACAGGCTGGAAGATAGAGCAGAAAAGGGAGGAGCAGACAGGGTGGAAGACAGAGCAAAGGGAAGAGCAGATAGGCTGGAAGATAGAGCAAAAGGAGGGGCAGACAGGGTGAAAGATGGAGGAGAAAAGGGAGAAGCAGACAGGGTGCAAAACAGAGCAAAAGGAGCAGACAGGATGGAAGATAGAGCAAAGGGAGGAGCAGACAGGCTGGAAGAGAGAAGAGAAAAAGGAGGAGCAGACAGGGTGCAAAACAGAGCAAAAGGAGGAGCAGACAGGATGGAAGATAGAGGGGAAAAGGATGGAAGATAGAGCAAAGGGAGGAGCAGACAGGCTGGAAGAGAGAAGAGAAAAAGGAGGAGCAGACAGGATGGAAGACAGAAGAGAAAAAGGAGGAGCAGACAGGGTGGAAGACAGAGCAAAAGGAGGAGCAGACAAGATTTTCCACAGTTTGGAAAACCTGGAAGAAAAAACGGTGGTGGAACAGCTGGTTGCAACTGTCCACATTTGCCTGCAGCAGACAGCTGAAAGGTCACCAGCTCTGGACAAAGCCCAAACCCAGACTCTCAACACTGTTCTGTTTGCTCTGGAAAGCACCAAAGTGCAGCTCAGTCTCTGAGGCTGCCACAGCTTGAACCAGGCTGTGGGGAGGGGACACACTGCAGCCCTGGGGCAAGGGACAGGGGGGTGTTCAGAGGTCCCTGTGGGGCTCCTCTGACTGTCCCAAAGCTGTACAGCCTGGCTGCCTCGGGCTGCAGGCTGACATTCCCCCAGTCCCCCCTCATTTCATTCTGTGTCTGCTTTGCAAAGTGCTCTCTGAAGCAGGTAAGGGCTGAAAAGGAGTATGTGGGTTCCCATCTGAGGATTTTCACAAGTCCTGCTGTTTCTGCAGGCTCAGGCACCCTCTCAAGTGACTGCTGTTCCCTAGGTCCTGGGAATATGGTGGGCAACCCTTGCATGTCCAGTGATGCCAGCCTCCCACAGACATAACCAGTAGCATTCAAAACAGGGTCTGGCAGGAAAACAGATAAATAAAAATCAGATAATGTGGCCCTGCTGAGCTGTAGACAGTTGTTAAGCAGGAGCCCCATGATTTGGAGCAGAACAGCTCAGTAAGGTCTACATAAGTAGAGGAACATGGATTCTTGCTAGAAAGAGCACATTATTGATGTAGGAGAGGCTGAGGGAAGCCAAGGCATCCATAGTCCATGGCTAACCATGGTCCTTCCATCTCCCTCCAAGAGCTGGGGCTTGGTCAGAGATGGGACAGAGGCTGAAGGGACTGAGGATCCCATCCCTGTGGCCCTGAGGGGACTGAGGATCCCTTCTCATGCTGCCCTGGTTTGCAGGCCAGACTCAGCAAGCCAACAGCTATTACCTTTATTTATCAGAATTCCACAGCAGCAGCTCATCACTGTGAGTTTCCAGTGCCACAGGACAGCAATTCAGGACAGCCACTCACTCCCTGCTCCAGCCCCACTCTGCCCCAGGTCCTGCACAGCCCCTGGACCAGGAGGAGACAGAGCAGGGCTGGCTGGGAGGGAAGGAGAGCAGAAATACCCCATCATGTGCTTTGGGATGATGCTGGATTTGCAGCAGGGCCAGCGAAGCCAGGCTGGCATCCACTGCAGGGAAGCACTGGTCCCAAAGAGGCCGGGCAGAGAAGCAGCAAAGTTTGCCCTGATTTTGTGAGGGGTTGGAAACCACACAGCAGCTCTTTCAGGGACTGGCCCTGGAAGTGTCCCAGCTTTTGTTGAAGCTGAATGGCTGGTGGGAAATGATTTATTTTTAATTTTCTTTCCTGCGTTAGGAACTGGAAAGGCTCCCGCTTCAGTTTTGTGTAACCACTTGGCTGCTGGGACACAGGAAGGCTTGGAGAAGAATCCTGCTGCTTAGTCAAGCATGAGCTTTTCCTCAAGTTCATGCTGAGCTGGGCTGCTTCCTGCAGCAGCCTTGCTTCTCCTTGCTGTTCTGCACCCCATTCCCTCTGGCCTAGTGAAGACAGAATCATGGAATGGTTTGGGTTGGAAGGGATGTTGAACTTCTTGGGCTAAAATGCCTAATAGTGACATCCTTTGCTGTGATGGACCATGTGCTCTGGGTTCCTGTCCCGTGAGCAGGGATGGAATGTGCCCAGGCTGTAGATCCCATCCATTTGATGTCCAGGCTGTAGATCCCATCCACAGCATGGCTGCAGGACAGGGATGGATGTGCTTTTATCACCTGACTTACAGTGGATTTACAAAAGGCAGGTGTCACACTTTACCCTGCACATGGGCACGGTCAGGGCTCTTTGAGGAGACAATCCTGTAGAGACATGGAGAGATCACAGCCATGCTTCTTCTTTTTGAAGCACATTTCTTCCTTCTTATGTCTCTGCTTTGACCTCTGCCCTTTCAACATGGCTGAAAATAAAAACCTTCTACTATTCTCATTGTGAAAATCCTCAATTATTTCCCCCATGGGCTTGTTTTTAATATGATTTTGAAGACCTCATTATCATTCTCAGCCTCTCCTCTCCCGATTGTAGACCCTGCCTTCTTAGCCTGTTCTCAGAAGCTTCTCCACCCCTTTTAGTATTTGCCTAGCTTTTTCTGTATTTTCTCTAATTCTTTTACTTCTATTGCTCTGTTACAGTCTGAACACAGGGAAAGCAGCATTGCGTGGTGAACTCAAGGTATGGGTATGCCAAAG